CAATCCAAAACCTGGAGAAGAAGAAATACAGTGTAATGCATATACTCTCACACTAGGATTGCGACAATGTGTCACACACATGAGCACCAAGTAGAATGACCAAAATGCCCTTGTAACGGCCACTTGTCAATCTCAGCAGAAAATTGTTGCTGAGGCTGTATAAACTACAATGTTGCTTAGATAAGAACTGTACAATGCAATGCAGTATTATGAACAAGTGTAAAAAGTTATAATATAACCGTGAAAGGACCATAGTACCCTTGAATAACCCTGTAACAAATTTTCATATGCAAAACCTCAATGAATACAGAAAACTGGTATATAACACTTGTATAATTGCAATGTACCATCTTAAATCAGTATTAAACTGTACCACAAGATGGTGGAAGACTAAAATACCCCTGAGAGATAATATTAGCCACAGTGCATAGCAACGGTGGTGATATAACCCCTTGGCAGCCCTGAGACACATGGATTTGACACTAAGCAGGCAAAGTCAATTAGGCACTAGGACCAACAATTATGTTCATGAAAGCAACAATTATCGTAATTGAATGTTAAAAAGGGTGGTCCATGTTACAAGATTTGTTTTTTAAAAGAAGCCAGAGTAATATTTGAAATTATTTGATATTATAGGGAATGTTTGTGTAATTATGGTAAACATTAGGAAAAATTGATTGGTGTAATTTTACATTTATCCTTCCATGTAAAAAAAAATAGAGTCCACTTTTTTTTTTTTTTTTTTTTGGATGGTAAATAGAGTCCACTTGTTAAAGTAAATGAGGGTGGTAGTAAAGATAAAATGTTTACTGTTTGATTCGTTAGAAACCATTGTACTAGAAACACATTCCCAAATTTTCATTATCATTATTATTATTATCCAAGTCAAAAAGCTAGACTGAAATATTAAATCTTATATGTACATTACATGCCCATAAAAATAGGGTCAATATATGAAATGTGATCACACCGGATAAAATGATTGAGACAAACGGATTAAAGGATCAAACATTTGCCGGAACCGCTCTCTCCGACGCCCCTTTTTTGACCTTCCCATTCTTGCTATCATGTCCATTCTATTTAGCAATCCTCATTTGCCTTCTAAAATAATTAAAAACGAATTAGTACAATGTAAATTATCTACCATCTTATTTTTCTCTATAATTCAAAAATTAAAACAGAAATTTAAAAAAGAAAAAAAATTATGAGCTAGAATGAAGAGATTCTAATATTATCATTCTCAAAATCATAATATCTATAATTAAAAACGAATTAGTACAATGTAAATTATCTACCATCTTATTTTTCTCTATAATTCAAAAATTAAAACAGAAATTTAAAAAAGAAAAAAAATTATGAGCTAGAATGAAGAGATTCTAATATTATCATTCTCAAAATCATAATATCTATAAACACAAATCAAATATAGTGAAAAATCAACTTTTCACAACTACTGCACCTATAAATTGTTAATGTAGCTACTTTCAACTTCTTTTTTCCGTAAATTACTTTCAACTTCTTCATATAGATTCCCTCATCCATTAACCATAAAAAGCTCCATGTTTTCAAGTACTTACTAGAATTTTTGGTATCAAGAGAATATGAGAGAGTTTTGTGTGTATGTCTCTCTCTAAAGACGATTCTTTTTACTTGTATTTTGGGCAGTGGGGATTGGAATTCATTGACCTCCAAGTGATGTTTTGGATTACTGCTTTGGGATGATGCAAGTAGGGTTTTGGTGTTCATGAAAAAAAAAAAAAGAGTTAGGTCGTATGAAGAGTGGACAACATCTTTTAAGAAATGTGTCCAGGTTTTGGCGTTCGTGAATATATATATAAAGCTACCTCGACTCGTTTTCATTGATCTCCCTACCAACTCTCTCCGCGCTTCCTGGCCCCAAAAAAAAAACCCTTCTTCCATTTGCTTGCTTCCCATTTTCGATACTCCAATTTTTTCTTCTTCAGTCATTTTCAGGCAAACATCGACGGCAATTTGCATGGCAACCTTCAATACAGAGAGGCTAAGAATGCTTTCAGTTTGTTGCTAGCTATAGATTCATTATGTAATTCGATTTCAAAAAGTTAATGGTTTTTGGCAACTTTTTGCTTGATCCCAAAAAAGAAATACAACTTTAGGAATCATCTTTTCTTTTTCTTTCCTTTTTTTATATATATGTCCTCGTTTTAGGAAGGTAGCAGTTTTCCCATGCACAGCGACAATTATAGAGAAAATTAATGTAATTATGACAAACTTTAGAGGAAGTTGATTAGTGTAAATTTTCCATTTTTCCTTTCATGTAAAAATATAGAGTCCACTACTTACAAGTAAATGAGGTTGGTAATAAGATTAAATGTTTACTATAGTATTTGATTAGTTAGTACCCGTTGTATTTTTAGGAAAGTTTTTTATAATTGGCTTACTACTACTACAGAGCAAAATCTACAAAATTAATAAATCCCGTTTGCTAGGGTTTCGGTGAAGGCAACAATATATAAGAAACGCATTTTAGTTCTATTAAAAAAAATCTCTCTTTGATCATGTTATAAGAATCCTTACTTTCCTTAATTACACATTATTAGATTTGAAATAGGATTAATTGGTTAACAAGTAAGACACTCATATATATATCCAATTAGGTTTCTAATAGGATTTGATTGATTGCTCAACAAGAAAGTCCCTATTTTTATATATATGTACTATTATGATCACAATTACCCATAATCATTCTTTCCCTTCTCTCACTTTCTCCATTTTAAAGTTCTCTCTCTAAAGATGGTGATTCCCATTAATACACATGATGTTCCTACTATGAAGTTGAAATTGAAGATGAAGATGATGAAGAAGAATGAAAATGTTCGGTACTTGGCTGCATACCCTGTTTTTGGTGATTTGATGGCGTCGGAAGTCATGTTGAAAGCAGTTCGAAATCTTGATCAAGACAACAAAGTTGTGGTGCCAAGGTGCAAAAGGGACTTCCGTGAATGTTTGGGTCATATACAATATGATATATATAACATACTTGAAGACGGTGAATGTTCAAAAACCTACCATCAATGTTGTTTTGATCATCATCATCATCATTGTGGTCATCAACCACAACAACAACAACAACAAGTAGCAGTGCAGGAAAAGAAGCCGCAGGAAAAGAAGAAGAAGAAGAAGGCGGCAGTAGTGAAGAAAATGGTATTGCCTCCTCCTGATCGTGACTACTCACAAGTGCCTCCGGATTTGCCAGAAAACTTCAAGAATCGAATCCGACAACTCGAGGGTTCGGAGCCAATGTTTGTGGCACAGAAAAGGCTAACCAAAACCGACATGGACTCAGGGCAGGCACGTTTGTTGTTGCCATTCAGTCTCATCAAGAATCCCGAGTTCCTCACACCGGAAGAGAAACACTTTCTCAACTCCAAATCCGTTGAATCTAAATGCAATGGAAAGTTGCCCGGAATACGGGTGCCTCTGATTGAACCCTCCGGTGAGGAGGGATGTTACTTGACAATCAAGAGGTGGGACATGCCCAAGAGAGAAGTGGGCAGAGTCAACTCGTCGTACTCGTTGGTCTCGGGTTGGAACTCGGTTGTGTCGAGGAATATGCTTCAAGCAGACATGGTGTTGCAAGTATGGTCGTTCCGAGTTGAGTCCGAATTGTGGTTTGCTTTTGTAAAACTGGGACAATAATCTAGTACTAGATCATTCATGTAAACATATTTCAATATTATTGAAATCGATAGATTCTGTAAGCACAAAGTTCATGTAACGCCAAATTTATTATCTGATGTATTTGCTCTAGAGTTCTATTCTGAAGTTGTTCCGAATTTTCAGTAAAAACCCCATAATTAGAACTAAAAAAAATTACCGTGCTTTACACTGTCATTATCAGAGTTATATTGAAAACTCTCGATCAAAACTATGAACTGGGATTGAAAATCAGAACTAGAGTAATAAATTAAATTACCGAATTGTGACGCACCTGTTGTTGTCCAGTGAGCCTTTTTTCTGCAACTCGTGGATCGGCCGAAATACAGAAATTTGTCATTGTAGGGAGGGACAACATGGGAGAAGAAGAGGGAATTTGGAGTTGGGTCTGTAGAATTTGTTTCCCCCAATCTTGTGATACGAAATTTGGGAGTAAAAATTGAAACCCCGGAGAAATTTTCTGAGTTGCTTGTGGTTGAGGGGTTGAGAAGCTCCATGGACGAGGACGGAGCTCATCAGAGAGACGCTCCATGGACGAGGACGGAGCTCACCAGGCTGGAGGGATTTGAAAGTAAAAAGGAAAGAAAAGGAAAAGAGAGAGAAACAAAAGGAAATAGTTTCCAAAAATGAAGAATGAGACTAGTTAAAGATTTATTTTATTAACAGAAAATAATATATACTCTTAATTTCAAACTACACACTAACCCTTTTAATTCTAAAAATAATTAGTGCATAATCTTTTCAAAAGTACAACACAACCGTCTATTCAATTTATTTATTTATTAGGATTTTGAAAGAATTAAATAAATTTGTTTTTCAAAAGCTAACGGCAAAGAGGATAGTCGTGAACTTAAGTCCTCTCAGGAGCAAATGAGTGCATATATTCTTATTATTACTGGTACAAAGAACATGCAAACAAGATAAACCAGGAATATGGTACCGAGCTATTAATTTGCCATTTCTTAAAATCAAGAAAAATATAGTGTATTTATTGATTGAGTACTGTATAATTATTACTTGAAACCATTCCAAGAAAGGAAAAATAAAACAGACTATGAGATCAATGTCCAATGTTGAAATGTTGCTTTGTAATTTGTAACCAATACATGGATTAGTCATATGGGCTCGTCCGTATGACGAATCCGTAAGGTGTGTTAAGGAATAAGCTGAAAGAAAACACTTGGTTGCAAGTATAATACCATTCCTTCCATGCTTCTTTATCTTCTCTAGTTCCATCCCAGACCAAATGTGTTTACGGCTTAAGTCATAATCTAGTAGTACACAGCCAGAATACACGGTTTGCATTTCCAAGAAATAATCTTTTTTTTTCTTTTAATTTCAAAAGAGCCAATGCCATGACTGGTTCATTACAAGCTCTTGACAATAAATCAACACAATATTACAGTGGCAACAAAAAACAAGCTACAGTTTGGAACAGCTGTCCTTGTAATGAGCCAACATGAACACTTATGGATGAGATAATACAAATTAATGAAGATAAAATAAAATAAAATAAGAGTGGCAAAACAAAAGGGTGTCTCTGAAGTCTATTCATAATTCCTTCAAGACAAAGAGACCCTTCGTACAACATAACTTAGCTCTGCCTGTGGTTTTTCGACACCTTTTTATATGTTTTCTTCTTTATTTACAGAGAGGTAAATGTTGTAGCTTACCTCAACAAAATGATCTTCGAAAGAACTTAACAGTTGATGCCACATTGACCTGCTGAAGCAGATTTTGTGGTGTCCGAAGTAAACGGATCGATCCGCACCCATAGAAGGGAGAATATAGAAGCAAGGAGTATGGACCAGACAATGACAATGGTAGGAGTACGATTTTGCCGACCCAACAAACCTTTGAGAAAGGGATACAGGTGGACGATAACCCATATGGCAAAGAAGAGCTTGCCGAAAAGAGGGCCCCAAGACTGATACCCGCTGTTTATGGCATACGAAACACCAGCCACTATACCTACCATGTTTACAATGAGGACAGTGGTCGGGGGGATGAGAAGAGATGTCCATTTGAACACATAAAGCTCCGCAAAGTCCCCATCCTCGTCAGATGCCTTTGAAGTGACAGTGAAGTTGGTATCAATGCCAGCAAGCACTTTCAAGAGACCTTGGAAGACCGCAAAGAGATGAGCCGATGTACCACCAATGACCCAAAATTGTTCATTTCTCCACCAGTCTTCAATACCAACGCCACTCCACCTAAGCTCCAATATCCCAGTTGCGAAAATGGAGATAAAGAGAAGAATAAACCACATACTAGCAAAGTTGCTTATCTGCATATAAATGTATCAGATTTATAAGAATCCACCATACATAAGTTGAGCAGCATAGAAAATGCTATGATAAAATGCCAGGTTGAAGTTTGCTAGATAAATTAGATAAATTCTGATGATTCAAAGTGGGACTTCACTTACCTCAGGAATGATAAATTTTCCGGTGAGAAGACAGACAGCAGGAAGTATACAGTAAGCAAGCAGTGGGATAGAGGTTAGGGGATAGACAATGGTATTAATGTATGCCAATCTCTCCAAGAGCTTCAGTCTTCCATTGTACCCATACCATATAGGGCAATGTCTGCTCAGCAGAATCTCAATTGACCCCAAAGCCCATCGAAGAACCTGGTTCAGACGATCAGAAAGATTGATGGGAGCAGACCCCTTAAATGCCGGGCGAGGAGGCATGCAATAAATTGAAATCCATCCCCGTGCGTGCATCTTAAACCCGGTCAAAATATCTTCTGTGACGGAACCATAGATCCATCCGATCTGATTGTAAGCAAATAAAGAAGCTCAATCAGTGTGTATTTCAAAGTGCAATCACAATCAATAAAAGAAGCCAGGTATGTATGGTAGATGCCCTCATTACTATCATAACTACCTCTTTGCCCCATTCAGTCTTGTCCTCGTATCCACAGCTAATAACATGGATAGCTTCTTTTAAGAGAGTTGCAGGATTTGTCGATTGTGGAATGCCCCCCATCTCCATAAAGGTGGCAGCAATAAATACCGGAGACTGACCGAATCGCTTTTCCAAGCTCTTCTGAGACATAAGAAGTGATTTCTCATCATCATAACCTGTAGAATACAAGGAATCCAGTTAAGCAACATTAATGCAGCAATCCACTGCCTATAAATTTCTTCTCTCTTCGTTTACTAAGAATACATGTCCTTTGTCCCAATTGGGACTCGAACCCTCAACCTCCTTTTTTGGGAGTTGGAGAAGATACGATCCATCCAAAAACCTGATAATACTGCCCATCAATTTTACCATTAGTTTATGTTAAAATTTAAATGAAATGCAGAACTTAAAATTGTAGTGGGATTTTGTCAAAATGCAGGAACTTTTTTGGGGAAAGGTCAAATTTGGACGAAATGGCTCAAAATCAAATAATGCATCTAAAACTAGGAATTAAATCCCCAAAATTATAAGACAAAAAAATGTCAAAACATTGCTCTAGGATCTCCTTGCCTTCCCATATCCCTCCTCCCCATGCATACATGCGGGTCTGCGTCCATGCATGTGCTAAGTGTAAACTCAGCCTAAGTAATACATGATGTTCAGGTTTATACAACCTACTTGATTCGTGATATCTTGGTTTACCATCTCGAATATTAGTTTGAAGGAAGGCGTGATGGAAATAAAATATATGGACCCACCTTCAACACCCTCTTCAATATCTTCCATATTGAAAATGGGAATGGTGGATTCAGTTCTTTTCATTGCCCTCTTTTTATCAATGTACTTCTTATTGCCACCCTTTCCCTTCTTCCTCGAGCCACAACAACTCTTGACAATAATATTTGGTTCCAAATCTGCCTCTGTTAAAACTGGATCATACCCATACAGAGCTTGCCTGTTAAAACAGCAACCAGTACCCACATAGACTGGACCCTGGATGCCATCCAGCCCTTTCAAGTTGATCTGTAACATAGGACCAAAATACAAATGAATTTAATCATAACCATTAAGAAAAGATTGTTGATAAATAGAATTGCCTTCGTGATGACGCATCAAGTGTAACCTACATCAAAGAAGACAATATTGCGGTTAGCATATCGATCGTGCCAATCAATGCCGTCAAACCGCTGTGGGAACTGCACATAACAGGTTTTCTTTCCATAAGCAGGATCCATCATAAAGCACATGGCTTCTTTAAGAGCTTTGCTGTTATTGAAGTAGTGATCACAATCGACATTCAAAAGATAGGCACCATTGGTCAGGACAGCTGAAACTCGAATCTGTAAACACAACAAAACTAATAATAAATAAACAAACCATCTCATACACAAAATCATGGTACATGGAAACACAGGCCATTCCTCAACGAACAAGAAAAAATGTATTCATTAATTGCCTACATCTTCAATCATATAAATAAACTAGCATCCCTCTGTGTGGAAATGTGATTGGTCACAAAATAACAAGGCAGGCAAAATTACCAGAGAAAAGCATAATTTAAATTACAGCAGTACTGGAAATTTAAAAAAGCACCTCTAATTTAGTAATTCCAAATGTCCAATCTAGTACTTTCGATATGTCTCCCCAACCATCATACTAATGTCATGTGGGTCTTGTCCTATGGTACATTTGCAGTGAGTATAATATCCAAGTTCATAATTATATATAAGAAGTGATTCTTGTCCTATGGTACATTTGCAGAGTAACAACGAGATTAATGGACCCTTGTTATTATAGTCAAACTTACGTTTTTCTTTTTCTTTTTAAAAAAAAAAAAATCCCACATTAACTAAGAGTCATAAGGATCACGAACCAAAGCATTCATTGCTCCGGCTTTCTTGTGATGCTGGAACCCTGGACGCTTCTCACGAGAAACATAAACCAGCCGAGGTAGCTCATTACCATCTGTATCAAGGCCGCCACTGTGCCCTAAAAACACCTGTGTCCATTAAAAGAAAAAATAAATAAATAAATAAAACAACTAAAAATTAGAAATAGAATAAATAAAGAGGTGTAATCTTAAGCCTTAACTACTTTAAAAAAAACAATTACACTACCTGGATCATTCCTGGATGGTCTCTAGGGTTGTTTCCAGGCCAAGGAGTTCCATCTTGCATTGTCCAACCTTCTTCAGGCGTCTTTTGTGCTTTGGCAACAAGTGCATTAATTCGTATCTTGAATTCTTCATACTCTCTCTGTTAAACAAAATGTTTCCAACATTACTACTATAAAGAAAGAAAATCAAATTTCAATGAAAGCCTAATAAGGAAATTCTGAGACAGCCTCAATTATATCATTCATATGTCCTGCCTGTTTTCTACTCTATACATTTAAAATTGATTGATACTTGCCACCCATGTTCGGTTCACACTCTTCCCAAAACCAATGCAGCACAGGATATTATTGACCAATTGAACATACACATCCTAGACCAGTAACAAATGGAAAACAAAATGGAGAGGGCGGGAGTGTGGTCTTGCACTATCTTGTAATCTATTTCATTTGTGATAAGTGTGTTTCTTTTGCAAGTTCTTGTAATCAGGCATGTTATAATATAATTCATGTTTGAACTTAAACAAAAAAAAACTTTTTGTCTATTTTTCTTTAGATTCTCCGCCTGGTACACACCCATGTGCTCTCATCTTTTACACTTAACGGGTCTGCACTGGTCACAACATTTTGTACTAATCATTAGTTTAATCAAATTCTACATTTATACTTGTCACATTTAAAGCATAAAGATTTTCTAATTCCATACGTGATAGATAAAAATTCTTTGCTTCCAGAATTCTCAGAACATTTTTGTTTACAAAGGTAGGTGACAAATCAAACCTATCTCCCATTATGCAACAATACAGAAGTGGAATGTCATCTATTATCACTACTACCTTGCTACTGTTATGATACTGCTATACTTTTGTTTCTTATTGCAGAATGAAGAACAATCACAATTTAGAAAATTGCACTATGCATGTAAAGGCTAAGAGAAACATTGCATTATGCAAGCAACATCAGTTGTCACAGATCTTTTCACTTACCTTCATTGCCCTGCGTTCTTTCACAAAAGAAGGCTGTATCTTGTCCTTCAAGTAATCTATCTTTTGAGCAAAATAAAATTCAGGGGCCCTAGGTTCAATGTTGTGCTTCTTGCAGAAGGGCACCCATTTCCTTGCAAACTCTGACGTCTCAGAGAGGGCTTCAAAGGTTAACATTGCTGACCCATCATCTGAAACATAACAAGAGACTTTGTCGACAGGGTAATCCACAGAAAGAATGGACAACACAGTGTTGGCAGTAACAAGAGGAGGCTCTTTCAAAGGATCCACTGTACTGACAAATACATCTATAGGTGCTAATTGTGAAGGCTCCCCTTCCCTATCATATCTGAGAAAAGAAAAAACCATTGTTGATGTGGTAAGAAAATTAACTAAAGGAAATCTATTTTCCAAAAAACCCATACCAACATTTCAACCACTATTCCTTATAAGAGATTATTTCAAATTAAATGAATCAAACTGACCTCATTGCAAGCCTCTCCAGGTAGGTCTCACGGTTGATGGGATACCATTTTGGGAACTGATCCAGAAGCCAGGATAAGGCAAACCACACCTCGCAGATTACCGATGTCAGCCACAAAGGATAAGCATCCTTCACTGGATGAGTAATACGATATTGCAAGAAGAATCCCAAGATAATCAACCGAAGAATAATCACAACTCGATATGGGGTCAGGTGAGAAGAAGAAATGGGCACAATGCGGCTCATAGGTTGGCGAGCATCATCAGCCCTGAGCCATAAAGAACTTATCAACATTCTGGAGAGAGGTATAACCCAGAGATAATGGAAAATAACACAAATGTATATATGGAATCGAACCCAAAAAGAGAACATAGAAATGGACAATGCTTTACCAAAAATAGAAACAAAAATAAACAATGTACAATTTCCTTGCATCCTCAAAATAATATGATGCATGCAAAGAAATACAGTAGACTTCAAATGCTCCTGGATGAAAATTATTCTCATTTCTCATGTAATGTCTTTGCTCAGTCATCCGTAACACTTCCGTACAATTTTCCTTGCATTCTCACGCAATGTCTTTGTTCAGTCATCCTCAACACTTTTAACAATTATCATGGCCATAATTTGAAGAGAAAACCTATACTAAAAATGTAACATGCTTACATTTGTAGTTCTTCCCCGTTTGATCCCGTACCCTCAATGTCTCCCTTCCCTTCACTGTATCTGTTGGACACTGGTATTATAGTTTTCTCCTGTTTGAGCTTCCAACCTTCAACCCTTTCCTTCCAGTCAACATTTCCAAGGCCATAAGAATTCAAGTCCTTTGAGGGGTCTACAATTCTTACAGGAACTGCGAAAACATATGACATGAACAAATGAACGTCAAAAAAAAGCCAAATAAAAAAATATAGACAACAGTTCATTGGATAATATCTAGTCAACATATCAAGTTAGCAGAATACCTGGCTGCCTTGGATCGATATATGGAAGTGATTTGTCACCTGGACCCAAAGGACCAGATGTAGTTCGTACAGATTGGGTGTCTGGAGTAGCACTGGGAATTTCACCAGATACCTGAGAAATTTTGGGGATATTGATAAGAAAAAAATTAACCAAAAACAATGATCTTGAATCGTTACATGAATTAATGTCCGGCACTAAACTTAATCATGGATACAACACTTGGTTATTGTATAAAGACTCGAGCGCAAAAAGAAACTGAAAAATAAAACAATCAAACTCTCATCTCGCAATGTGAATAGTGTTTTCCTTTGATATAGTACATAAATACTCTTCACAAAATTATAGTTATGAAATTCATTCATTAGTGCACCTAGGTAATAATTGTTTCTTGACATTTACCAATGCTTGGCGCATACAAAAATGTTCCAATAGTAAATCCTTAACTTACTGACTCGGAGTACACATAAGTGAAATGCATACGGCAGTATTCAGTTCTAGTTTTTAATCAGAGAAGTTGTTATGGAAACCAACACACAAGACAAAATCAAGCAACCCTCAGAACTAACAAATTTTCATAATGAACCTACTGCCACTTGAAGTTGGAAGACAAAAATTTCAAGGTACAAGTTTTCTAGCATATTTGACAGAACCAGAAACATGTGTAAGAGAGGAAGGAAACACAAGCCACCAATTGAGAAAAGCAGTATCCTGCAGTGTGGACTCAGGCACATGAGCAGGGTGTGAGTATGTGTCTAAACATCAGTGTGATCAAATCCACAAGCCCAATAAACCGGGATACAGCTATATGTGCAGATTTATTTAAAAAAATATTATTCTTTTATTTTATCGAGTAAAATAATGTTTTTTGGCAAGTGTTCAACATGAATACTTGACTAATTTTCAAGCAAAAATTTTTTTAAGGTTTTTTTTCAAGCAATTAATAAAGCATAATGAGAGAGTTTAAAATAATTATCTTTACTAGGTAAATTTCCAACCAGACATAGGACATGTATCCCATTTCCAAACCTAGGTGTCATATGTCAGACACAAGTACTTAACCCATTAAGAAAAGCCCACATAACATAAAAGTACTGAAAATTTAAAAAGAAATGCAATTGATTTAGACCAAGTTGCAACTCCAGCAATTAAAATGCACATAAATTAGTGTACAAATGCATCAGAAATATTTATCACTTACTGATTGCCCATTGGTCAGAAGGGGAATTGGTTGCTGAGATTCATGTCTAGAAGATGAAGAGAGGTCAGGATCTTCCCCTTGCCACTGGCGTCTTGCCTTGCTATTTCCCCTGAACTCATTCTCCAGGTCATCAACGTCATCCTCTTCATCATCACCCTCAACTCGAGGACTTCCTGATAGATGCACAACCCAACTTCACTCCCAATGTTTATTACTAAACAAAATGATACGAAACTAAGAGAGAATGTGGAACAGATTTAAGTAGAAAGCTGACCTTTGTGTCTCTTATATCTAGTCTTACACTGAGGACAGGCCTGATTTCCATCTTTCCGTTCATACTCATAGCAAGGCCGGCAAACTGGGAAGGCACACTCATTGCAAGCGACAAAGACATCACCGGTGGCTGTAAGTCCAACATTTTCTCCACAAATCTGACATGTCTGGCCATTCAAATCCTTCAGGGGCTTGGGCTACATCATCCCCAACAATGTACAGACTAAATTTAGCAGAGATCTCACAAAGTTGGATATAGACATTAATATAGTAATTGCAACGTAGTTGTACACAAATTTACAAAATGAGTTCCATTTTGAGATATTGTGCAGCTTTGTATGATGAACAATGATTCGCAAAGTCAATTATCCACAAACTCGATTAAGAGTTCAGCTGAATTGAAGGAATTTTAAGTATTACTAGTTACAAACAAGTAGCAGACAATGAGAACCACAAACCTTAACTACAAAAAACATGAGAACATTCTAGATATAGAACAGAATAATGGTTTTGCATGAACCCTGAAACTTTCATAGACTTGAAAATGCGCATTGCAACAGAATAAAGTACACAACGCCTAAATTTTCATTAGGCAAACTAACTGAATAAACTTCAAAACATTATAGCAAATAAACCAACTACCTGTTTTACATGGACGCTTCAAGATTACGTAAAATACCCGTACCATACACATGACACTCGGACAAGGGTACGGAACATGTGTCTGACACTTTTGATTGGACATACCTAAAAAGCACATCCAATCATTTTTTTTATTATTATATTATTGCTTCAAATGAGTTAAATGTCTATTTCAAACACTATGTTACATGAAAACGATATTTTTCTCTAAAGAAATAAAAGAAAATATTAAATAATATAAATATTTTCTTGTGTTCATGTAAATCCGTTGCTTGGACACATACACTATTTGACGATTTGATAAATCTGTTGCTTGGACACATACATGCACCACAACTCATAAAAGCTAGCATACAATAATCTCAAACTACTACACAAGAATGGTCATAGATGAGGGAGAAACTCATAAGAGCCAGCATACATTGATCTCAAACTTCTACACAAGAATGGTTACAGATGAGAGAGAGAGGAGTCTCATCTCAGCAATAGTCAAAAGAACTATGTTCAAAGCAAATCGGTAACCCTAGTAAGAAAATAACACTATTGTTTAATGAATAAAATTATCTGCAATTCACAAATATAGTTCAATTCTCACCGAACTAGACTATCAAGATGTCAGCTTTAATCAATAAGATAACGAGATTAATAAATAAATTGGTAATAAGTCAAACTTATCATAATCCAATCATCAAATTGCACATAAAAAAATCACATTTGATAGGAAATCACCCTGCAATTTCATGAAAACACCAAATAAAAACTTCAACAATCAACAGTTGCAACAAGATCAAAGCCCAACAAAACCAAATCTGAATCACAGATATCAAATTTCCAAATATAACTCAGGCTTCTCAAAAAACGATATGAAAGGAAAGACATTAGAAAAGAAAAAACCATACTTTCAGCTCAAGTCTCACTGTCACACAACCGACAGTTACATCAAAATACATAAATGCAATGAAAAATTAAGTTTTAAGGAACATGTCAAATCTAAGAGTCGGAATCATAATCAATCTGCTAAGAACTTCCTAAATCCAACAGAAGAACCCAAATTTGAGCTGAACACTCTTGTCTATTTCAGCCACCACTCGGATCTAAAACTACAATACATGAGATAAACAAAAAAAAAATGTTCCCAAGAAACAATTTTTAGACTTCAGAACAAAATTGACCAGTACACATTTCCTGATACCATGAAAAGAATCAAATTGCAGCTCAAATTGAACACAAACCAACACCCAGATACAAAACAAAGAAACATTTCCAAAGAAAATGAACTGAAATTCAAAATGGGTATGTAAAAAACACAAACCCCACTATCGGAATCGTGCCGAATTCGAACCAACTCATTCCTGTTGTAAGATCCAGCCACCATTCCAGCATTTGCCTCCATTTCTTAGAAGAAACAGAGCAAATAAAGAGTGAGATACACAACAGTCAAAGTAAGATCTTTATGTCAATATATGGCAAAGATCTTGAAGATCAGAAAGGGTTGAGCTCAAATTGTGTAAAATTTGAGCAAAATGTGGAGATGGGCATTCTCTGATTCCTCGCCCAAATCAATTAGCCATCACTTTTATCTCTCCTTCCAGTTGATATACAGCTTTGCCTCTTGTATCAGTTTCTTCAATTATTTTATTAAAATATTTCTTTTTAATAATGTAAATGTTTTAACTAGCCAAACCGGTAGTCACGGACCGGCTCGGCTTCACAGGCGCGCATGAATTCGGACAGGTTTGATAATATTTGTATCACTCATAATTCATTGAATAAAAGAAAGAAAATACATTAATATTGAAAGAAACTGTACGTTTTGTTTTGTTTTGTTTGAATGTAAAATATTTTTAAATTTTATTTTTTGATATTTGACTGTCATAAAATATTTATGAATAAGAAAAAATATAAAAATTTAACAAAAATAATTTAAATATCAATTTTCGGCAAGTTATTTTCATGCCACACCTGATGGACTTGTCAATGACCTAAACTTTTACCAAATACTGAAAAAAAAATAATAATAATAATATTTTACCTGAAAAAAGAAAGCATTGTCCGAAAAATATATTTTACGTTGAGCCTAAAAGAACATTTCTATTAATTAATAATCAACAACTATGATGAACATTTTTAATAATGGCTAATTTAGGGCATCTCCAATGGACTCTCTGAATTCAGGCTCTCCGAATTTGCCACATCAGCATTTTCTCATAGTCACGTCAGCATTTCCCATAACCACGTCAGCGTTTTAGTATATCCAAATTTTAGCTATCGGATGTACTCCAATGGTGCATTTTCGCTCTCCTAAAATATTAATATTATTTTAATATTTTTAAAATTAAAATAAAATTTATTTTTTAACTTTTTTGAACTAAACAATGAAAGGTTTCTAATATCATTTGAAATAAACAATGAAAGGTTTTTTCCAATGGTGCATTTTTGCTCTCCAAAAATATTAATATTTTAATATTTTTAAAATTTAAAATAAAATTTATTTTTTAATTTTTTTGAACTAAACAATGAAAGGTTTCTAATATCATTTGAAATAAACAATGAAAGGTTTTTTCAAAAAAATAATAATAAATAAATAAATATGTATATAATTATTTAAAAAAAAAAAATTCAAAAAATAGGTTTTGTGCCAATATAGCCGTTAAGGCACTGTTTGGGTCAGCCAAACAGTGCCTAGAACGGCTATATGTCAGTAGGAATATTTTTAAAAGCAATTTTTATTAAAAAAAGCACTTTTATCTAATTTTTTTAAACTTTTTTTTGCCCAAAAAAGCCTTTAAGGCACTGTTTGTGTCAGCTAAACAATGCCTTAACAGCTCTTTGGTTCAATTATTTTGAAGAAAAAAAAATAAAAATAAAAAAAGACCAAAATCAGCCAAAAAAAACTAATTTTTTCCTTTTTTTTCCAACCAAACAGGCCTTACCAAATACTATTCTGGGCTGAAACACTAATTGGGCCAGAATTAAAAAGGAAAAAAGAAAACTGATGTGGGCCCGCATGTTAGGCCCGCAATTCGCCAAACCAATCTTGGTTTTTGGCGACTTGGATCAAGATTATTTTAATGGGTCCCACTTTTTAAAGAGTTCATTGGAACAGCCCATTCTTCAAAATTGGTCAAAAGTCGCCGGATCACTCACCATTGGACCAGCTCTTATATATTTACCTACATTTCATTATTGTAAACATGTTCTAGTAAAAAAATAAATCACATATTTGTGATAGATTTTTACTTCAATGATAATTAATCGCAAATTCACGTCGTATTAATTATCTAACTCCACGTATATATTTGTTTAAATGTATCTAAGTATATATTTGTAGAGATGTATCTGAATATTTACTAACATGTATATTTGAAAATAAATATTAGGATGATTACATTTACCTCCTCTATAAATTGCCTAAATAACGAGAAATATTAAATATTCCGGGAATATGGTACCTGAGGTTATGCTAGCCCTTGGATATGGTGGGGCCTACCACCACATCCATGATCCAACGGCTCCCACTGTATCGGGTACCACATTCTCGGAGTATTTAATATTTTCTCATAAATAACATAGCCCTTCCTTATTATTTCAAAAAATATTACTAACATTTTTTGTCGGTGTTGAATACTAGTTCAATATATATATAAAATAGCATTGTCAAGTTTTTTTTAAAGGCATACTTGAATTTTGAGTAAATTTTGAACACGACAATAGCAGACGAAAGTATAAAATTTTATGTCAAGATAAATCACTATTATATTTGAAACTAAAAGGAAGGTCTAAGTTAAATTCTTCGATGAATATTTTGATGACTATTTAAATTTTATTATTTTAATTTAAAACTTTGATGTAAGATAATAATTTTAGTAAAATTTTTATTTTTATATATTTATCCTTTTTGAATAACTTAAAATCCTTTTCATTATGCACTTTACTATTGCTAAATATACATAGAGAGAAAGCTCAGCCGTGCTGTAGCCTACAAGTCCACAACTCTTCTGACTAAGCCATTTCAATATATAGATATAGATATAGATATAGATATATATATATATGACATCAGCAATAGTTTCAACAAGTTATATGCTGTTAACAGCTGTACTGCTTAAAAAGTAACCGGCTGTTGCCGGTTGCCGCTCTCCGACAACTCCAATGGCTGTCGGTGGACTCCATTTATGCATTTGATTGGTTTATAGTGCACTTGATCATCCCGCAAATTACCAAGATACCCTTTATTCAATTATAGGAGTACATATGAATTTCTTAATCCCATCTAACAAGAGTAGAAGTGAATTAGTTTTAAAAATATAATTTGTATATTTTAAATGTGAATTGAACCTCACTTGTGATGTCATTACAATGATAGCATAACCGATAATGATTTTAGTAATAATAATGCTATAAAACTCCCATAAACTATAAAGAACTTGTGTATCACCCCTTTATTTAATTTTTAGCAATTAATAACTTTGAAATATACAAATTTTTCAAAAATGCCCTTAAGATTAATTGCATTAATCACTTTGATTTTAAAATTTTATATATTACTCTTTGTTTAAAGGGGTAATGTGAAATTTTGTTTTAGTTAAGGTAAGTTTTGTGTAATTAATTTTAAAAGCAATTTAGTAATTTGCAAGATATATTTAAGGTTTGCTGTCACCGTATTAGCAAAGTTCCTGGGGTTACTTTTATTACAAGGAGTGCCATGCAAACGTTATACTGTTAAGGGGGTGTTTGTACAATTAACCCTTTTTTGTTTTTAAATGAATGTTCATTTAAAAAAAAAAAAAATTCAGTAACCAATTTTTAGAAATGCCCCAACAAAACCTTTTTGTGTTATTTTTATATTTTAGGGAAAAACAAAGTACTGAAGTATTTTTAAAATTATTACCAAATATGCCTTTAGAAGTCTTATATTTTGCCACCATACAAAATAATTTCAAAGTAATTTTGATTATGTCAAGTCACGTATGGCAGACGCACAGGTGAACACCTCACTAAATTGTTAGTGATGTTTTTCAACTAGATTCGTAAAATTTTTAATTAAGTCAAAGGTAATTAATCATGAGTTTTTTTTTTTTTTTTTTAATCTTGAGTTATTCAATATTATTACTGCAAATCACTAAGTGAGGTCCAAGATAATTTTTAATATGCAGAATTGAAAGTGCTAGAATATAATATATTAAATTGCACAGGACAGAGTTGTTCAATGTAACATTGACAGGGCTTTTAGAGTCGTTGGATATAAAATATAAGAATAGGTATTCCATCAAATTCTTGTCAGACATATATGCCATCTAAGGGTCAATATTTATTTGTTCAACTGATTTATTTAATTAGGAATCTTATTGTTACATTGTCTTCGTAAATACTTTATTGGTGTCATAGTAATCATGGCATAAGGTTAGGTTAAACCTTAATTATGATTAGAGAATCATTAAGATAAGACAATTCCTCTGTAAACTTATTATGTTTATAGTCATGGATGATGAGATGGACATTTCACTTAAACACCAACATATACCAAGCTAATACATTTATGCAATCTTGTGTCTTAAATCATTGGAATAATAAATTTCTAAATAAACATATGGATACATATAAAATAACATATGTACCAAACTGAATTTAGAATAAGTTCTCTATTATGATCGGTGTATTTGTACTAAAGGGCATCTAGTCCAATAGTATAACTTTTCAATTCTCAAAAAGAAAGGAAGGGATTTGAACTTTGATATAGGCAAAACGTATGAATGATGAAATGGACATTTCACTTAAAACACCAACATATACATACATTTATGTAATTGTAATTATGTGTCTTAATCATTGGAATAATAAATTCCAAAATGGACATATGGGCACATATAAAATGACATATGTACCAAACTTAATTTAAAGCAAGTTTTCTATTGTGATTTATGTATTTGCATTAAAGGACATCCAGTTCAATGATATAATTTTTTCAAACTCTGATATAGGTAAAACGTGTGAGTGCTTTTCTTGTATGACCAAAAAAAACACGGTCCTTGTATACGAGAGAGAGAGACGAGATAGATACAAAGAGTCATCAATAGTTATTGATAAATGACTCTATAAACTACCTAATTGTTATTGGAACATTAATTGCATACGTCTTGGTGAGTGAAAGTGAAATAATATTATTCCAATGACTAATGTTAGAATAAAGACGAGTGGAAGGACTTATAAGCAAAAAAGTGCTACAAAGGGACTCACTTGTAAATAACATATTCTCTAGTGTTACTTTGTAAATATACAAATCAACACGAAACAAGATTACAGTAATATGACACGACACGTGCAACTTAAGGAATTAAGATTTGATACAATATGAAATGATACTTGATACGATACGAAATGATACGATAAAATATGTTGTCATTTTTTATTCTAACACAATATGTTTCTCAAATACATTTAGCTAAACAAATAAATTTTAACACGAACATAACACATTTATTTAACACATTTAGTTAAACAAGTTATAAATAAGTTTGTAGGTCAAATACGACACGTTTAATTACTATGTCAATCCGGATTGACACATATCTTGCCAATTCAAAATCCACTTATCTTGTGTGTTTAATTACTATGTCAATCCGGATTGACACATATCTTGCCAATTCAAAATCCACTTATCTTGTGTTATATTCAAGTTGTGTTCGCATGTCATATCTAAAATTGCCATCAGGATGACCTTTTGGAATGATTTAAATCATACCATCAAGAATTATATTTTTATCAATTATTGAATTAAGTCACACAATCATTCTCAACGAGTACTGCTCTCACGTTCTGAGTGTGCTCTCGCTCCTTTTTTCACTATTTGTAACTTAATTTTATCGCTTTTGCACTTCCATTTTATGTGACTTAGTTCTTAAATAAAAATAAAAAAAAAAAAAAAAAATCCCTTAATTTTTAGCAAAATAACATAACATAGTGATGAAGACTTAAGCTAGCAAAACATAACAACACAAGTTCCATCTGAGAGCAACAAATTAGTATAATACAATACTTAAATACTAGACAGACTACTACCACTACAAAAATGACCTTTTCCATAGCATGAGGACCATTTTAACTAAAAAAAATCAATTTGATGACTATAATCTCTACTTGTACTCAGAAATACTCCAGAAATGCCAACTCAAAACGGAATGAAGTTCTAATTTTTATCTGACAAAGTAAATTATTTACCAAATTCATGGATCAATGATCCTCCATTTGAGGTTCAACCCATCTTAGATCATGAAAATCAACTTTGTGCTCACAATTATTCAGGAATCATGATGCAAGCCCACACGGGCTAGATCCAATGGTTCGGGAGCTTGACACAAGAACTCCATACATAGGAGATCTTGTGTTTGACTCTCTCTGAGGTAGGAAATCCGGATTTAACCGATAAATGTGGCTTGTGGACAATTGCACATAAAAATTCAGGATGCAGACAAAGTCAGCTTTGAAGCAATTTTAAAAGCAAGTTTCAATTTTCATTGCTATGCCTGCATTGTCTGAAATGAAAAGCAATAAGACAGGTCAAACACTCCAACTTGCTTAAACTATAAGTCTAGCATGAGAAAACAAAGTTAGGAACATTGAAGATGGAGTAAATGGAATCATTTTATCATTACATCCATTGAAGATGTAGTAAATGAAAAGGCATCTACAAAAGATTAATCTGTTCTCTTCAATGAAATGCTCATCAAACCATGTCCTCCATATAGAACCATAGAAACAAGAATCCAGGTAAATAGTACTAATCTACTCTTCGCCACTGCAACTTGGTCGCGATTAAATTCACGTGTTGTCTGACATCCACAGAAGTATCATAAATTGAAAGAAAACGAGGGGTAAAAGAGAACCATTTTACACTAATTTAGGATCAACTTTCTTGTGCTATTTGATTATTTCAATATATACACGTAAGAGTAAAAAAAAGGCACAGGGACGCACCCTTTTCCCTTTCGCTCGTGTCTCTCACAAAATCCATATACATAGAACCTACTTCCTCCCCTCCTGAATTCCTGCCGTTGTGTTCTTCAATATCTGTAGCATTGTATCAATAAGCAAAGGTTACAAATGGTTATAAAAAATAAAAATAATAATTAAAAAAAGTTCTAATTAGAACACAAATTAAATAGATTGCAGGTCCAACTAAACAATTATCATGATATCAACCATCTTCTAGCAAAATTCAGCTTGTCAATGTAGCAATTCATGCTATCGATTCTTGAGTTACTAACTAAGATATCTCAACATTAGGTATGAAAATCCTACTCTGAAATTAACACTAACTAACTCAGCACTCCTCGGACCAACACTACCCATATTATATACAAGTGACCAAGCCCGAAATCGTCCAAAATCTAAATCTACAACACCCAGGTCCTCTCTACTTGTTTACCAAAGCAATAAACCTTAATGTAGCAGCCCCTTTCATCATTCAATGTCAAGATGAAGCCCCATCTGGTTTAACTCGTTTTCCAGGACCACCAGCCAATATTGGTCGGCCATCCAAGCATCATAACATACAAGGTACCAAAGTTCCTAATAATATATTTTCCTTCTTGCGTTGGAAGATCCTAAAATTTAACTTGGAGCCGAACCAAACTATAGCCAGGCCCACCAAAGAACTAACAACATTATGCCAAAACCAGGACTCCAATTTAAGCATTCTGTTCACCATTAACAAAGTCATGTCATTAAAAAGAGAACTTTTTTTTTTTCTTCATGAGAATAATACATGAGCAAAAATTATACACTTCGTTTAAATTCTAGGAGGACGATACACCAAAAAAAAAAAAGATAAAAAAAAAAGGGAGAATTTGCATATCCTATAAGTGCACATCACGTCACGCATTCACGATCAAACACTAAGCACCTTCTCAAAAATCAATCATAAAAAATTTTTAAAAAATGTTACGAATCAAAAGGATTTATTTGGAATCTATGCCTCATAATATCCTTAGTCTTATTCCATTTCTTTTCATCTCAAGAGTTCTGATTTTTTCAGATTAAGAAAAAAAATATCCTTCTGGTATATGGCCCATGTCCCATGTCACAACCAAGGTGGGGGCATGCCTATATTGCAACCGCAAACTCAAGATTCTGTCAATCATAGTTATATTTTTAGCTTTATATTATATGGTACAAATTACTACAATTAGACACTCATGTTCCATGTTGGTGCCAAACAAGCTAAGCATTAGTAACTACCAACCAATTGTCCCACAAAATGATAGGTCCACCAAGTACCACATTAATGATAAGCTCCAGTCCTTTCCTCCATTGATAGAGAATACCATGGGTCCATGACCATGACCCTCATCACTTATGCCCAATGATATTATATATTTTTGCTTCCACTATAAATGTAGATATTTTATATATATATACATATAATTGACACTTTTAGTTTATCCAATACACGCCAAACGACTTCTACATCATAGTATATTGAATTTCACAACTACTACGATACTCTCACATCGGCCAAGGAAAGAAGTTCCTCGCACTTATATATGTGGACACCCCTTAACCAAATGCGTTTTGAAAACCGTGAGCATGGAAACTATACAAAGCGGACATTATCTACAAGAGCTGGTGCAAGACATTACTAATTAACACTTAAATACCCAAAAACCCTTTTTGATGACAATTGATCTATAATGTCTAAATCATATGATATTGGGTTTAACTAGATGCTATCAATTTAATATGGCATGACAGATTTAAATGCCGAAAATGCCCTTGAAGGAACCTATTCCATGGTGTGTATGTCTTGATAGTGATGATATACATGCGTATAGAGATGGGGTTATAAGGTTTGAATTGACATACATGTCTAAGCATCTGGTTTTCATTTTGCAACGTGGACAGCCTCTCCTCCAGCTCAGAGTTCTTCTTTTCCAAGTCTTTAACCCTAACCTCCAACTCATTCAAGTATGCCTTTTTCCTCTCCCTTGCTTGCTGTGCTGAAACTCTGTTCCTCAGCAACCTAAAATTCATTTTTTGGACCCCAAACAAACATTAAATCACCATCATGCCACTCTATCACAAAATTCACAAGTAGCACACAATGACTGAAATTACCTAACCAGCACATTGTGGGTAGGTGCAGTGCTCTGACCCAGATCTTGCCACGTCAGATGATAACCATTAGGTGGCAAGATCTGGTTGAGTAAAAAAAAAGGCAAGAAATAAGAATTGAAAACCGGTTCGGTTCGGTTTACCTCTTGAGCCGCTTGTTTTCTTTGTCAGCAGGACTTCTACCCCTCTTCCTTGTCTGAACCCGGTCCGGACCGGCCCCTGAAACGCCACCCCGGCCTGATGCCGACGCGCCGGCTATTTCTCCGCCGAGCTCCGGCACTCTTCTGATCTCATCGTCACTCTCCATACCTTCATAATCAAAGTAAGCCCATTTAATTACAAATCTATCTCGAGATCTTTCTCAGAAATCAACTTTCCCGAGAAATCGCAGACACCCAGATGAGAAAATCTCACATTTAACAAAACCCAGATGGGAAACTCCAAAATTTCTCGAAATTAAAAATGTATAACCACATGCATCTCCAGATTCATATGCACACACACACACATCATGCATGAGCCATCGAGCTACCTCTTTCTGGAAAAATAGATGGTGGCATGTTTGGCAAAAAAAAACTATTCATAATACTATTAAATTCATAATTTTTAAATATGAACCAGCTTCTTATGGTATTATCATCCAGAAATTAGAACTTTTCAAAGGAAAATTTTGCAGAAAGAGAGAGAAAAATCATACCTTCTTTGATTTCAACTTGAGGAGCAGAACTGGAAGACCTTTCACTGCTCGAAGGTCTACTCGCTCCAATAAAACTCGTTTGCTGTTCTTGCATTTCCACTTCAGAAGAAGATACAGAGATAGAGAGAGAGAGCGAGAGAGAGAGAGAGAGAGAGGAGAGTGGGATATTAATGGGTTTGGACTTTGGACTTTGGAGAGACTAATAAAAGAGCGGGATATTAATGTTACAGTGTAGTAAAGAGAGAGTGGGGGAGACAGGTGACAATAAGACAACCGTACGATTGGTTTTGATCTGACGGTTAAAAAGTGATGAGCGTGGAAGTGCGAGAGCCAGAAGGGGATGGGTTAATCAAAGGCTACTGGAAAAGAAGCGTGGAGTTAAGATAGCCGTTGGATCAGGTAATAATCCGACGGCTAGGACACTATTTAATGTCAGATACAATGAATTGGGAGTGGGCAGGGCACGTGGTGGCTTGAAAAGATATGTTTACACTTTACAGTTCTCCATTTTGGAAAAGGTAAAGTGGAAACTATTTTCTATTACCAAAAATGCCCTCAAAAATAAAACCTGGAAACTTCCTACGCATCCAAGAAAATAACAAAAATACAAAAACAAAATTGACAAAAGAGGTTATGCGTAATTGACTAAAAGCTTAATACTCAATCTATTTATAATTTTATTGACGAGATATTGAATTAAGAATTAGGTTGAGTATAATATTAACTGTAGCAGTGTTTTGCTATCAAACTTAAAAATTTAAATTATTAAATGGAGTTGATGCAATTTATACCCATTACACCAAACAACATTAAAACACTATTTTAGGTATGCTCATGAGAGAAAATATTTAGAAAGCATAGATTCGTAGAACAAAATACAGATTTGTTGATACCACAAATTTTAAAAAACGTATAATAATAATATGGCATGAATATGTCAAAAAGTAATAATACAGTATAATATTATATATATATATATGTCTACGTATAATAATTTTTGCTCAATTTATTCACATTATCATGAACAAATTCACTAATTTTCATTATAATATATTATTATATATATAAGTAATTTTGCTAAATGTATCCACATTATCAGGAACAAAATCGCTAATTTGGACTTGGTGCTAAATGGGTGTTATTTTTATTTTCTAAAACTCTATATTGAAATTGCATTAGAATCATGTTCTTAAAAAATAAATAAATAAATTACAAAACTAACTCAATAACTCATCCTGTTTTGAAAATGTCTAAAATATCATTATCATCATTTTTATCTTCATCTCATACAAACAAGGTTGTTTTCTAATTTTCTCTATCGTAAGTTATTTCTCTTACTAAGTTCAATTTTTTAAAAAAGAAAATTCATCATTCTTTACATTGTGATAACTTATCATTTATAAACTTTATTATCTATTCATTAGCTAAACAAAACTCATCCTGTCATCTTTGTTTATATTTTGGCCTCCCAAATTACCTATCTTGTTTATCTTTATGATTTGGCGATTGAAAATAATTAATTAAATGAACCTATAGCTGTCATGAGCGACTCGAACCGCACAACTATGACTTGACTTGTTAGACTCGTAAACATATATACGAACGTGTGTTCGTGAACAAACTCGAGTCTCATAAATATAACTTTTAGCAAGGATTGTTTGGATTTTTAGGTTTTCTTTTTCTTAACAATAATATTGAACTCAAGCTCAATAATGAGCTTAAGATGGGGATCAACATTGAATAGACTAGCAAAACTAGTCAAGTTTGAGCTCGACAAACTGAGTTTGAACTTAGGAAGCACAAAAACTTCTTCTAGGTTGTTATAACGGTGTTGGACACGCGGATACGATTCGAACACGTGTCAGATACGACTAGAAGTATTTTAAAATTAAAATATTTTATTTTTTGATTAGACACGGCATAAACATGGCAAAGATACATAATATTGTATATTGTGGTTGGATATGACAATGCTATGTTTTGGATGCGACAATGATACAACAAGATGATCACTGATTTTGTACCTTATTTTATTTATAAAAAATGGGATTCAATGCACTATAAAATATATTGTGTTAATTAGAAAAATAATATAAATTTAAGAAAACAAAAATAACTAACATCTAGTTTTAAGCTCTAAATTAGTGGTTTCATTCATAATTATATGGATAAAATGAGTAAAAATTATTATCTGTATATATAATAATATATTATATTATTATTTTTTAAAGTATTAATGCCATATCTGTATCCTTTTTTTTTTTTTTATAAGATATGTCGTATCACTGTGTTGGTATCGTGTCGTAATCGTATCTCGTATCTGTATCCGTGCTTCCTAAGTAGGCCTATAAACATATTAGATTTGGACCGGATCGGACCTAATTGGATCTGAATCCAATAAGAGTAATATATGATCCGAATTATTTATGATTAAATTCATATCCGATCCGATTTTGTTATTAACCAAATATCCGATCGGATAAACTGATCCAAAAAAATATAATTTTTTGTTAACAAAATTAATATAAAGAGAGATTAGTAAACAATGATTAAGAAAAAAAAAACAGAGAGAAGCAAGAGAAGAAAAATAAAATATACACAAAAAAAAAAAAGAAAAAAAAAAAAAGGTAGAAAAGTAGCTAGGTATTTGACTTTTTCTTAAAGAAAAATACAATAAAGAGAGACAAAATTGAAAGAGGGAAAAAGAAGAACAAAAAATAAAAAAATAAAATATTTATAATATATTTATACTATATTATATATATTATTCATTTATCGAATTGGATTAATCATAATTCAAATCAGCCCAATTTGAATTATCAAATACACATCATTAACGAATTCTCTCGTATATGTTATTTGAATCCATTGATACGCCTATTAGTAGATTTCACTCATATATGGGCTACACTCAAGCTCTTCACCTTTCACTCCCACATCCAATCAGCCAAATAAGTAGCCACAATCACACCACTACAATCATCCCCTCCCCTCAGGGCCCAATATCTTTGCTGGCCACACTTTTAGTCCGTCTTAGATACCATTTATAAAGATCCATTCTACTGTACGATAAGATACTGTTCGAATGAGTATGGTCTTGTTTTTCGATTTTGCCTAAAAGGTTTCGTACTATTTGGAAATAAAACTATTATATATAAGCATCTTACCTTTACCATGCCAGAGTACGTAACCTGTAGCTCGCCGAGTCTATGCAACCATAGGTCACCACAAATAGTATCTTAGAAAAACCCAATTTACACTATTATCGCACATAAGCATTAAGAGTAACCAAATTGCTAAATACAAGGTGAAAATGATACAGATATATAAGAAATTGGCACACACACACACACACACTTATTCTTGCTTACAATATAATCATCTGGTGTTTGACAGACTGATTTACTAATGTAAATTATACATTGGATCTATTGATCATCATATAAAAGAATTAAGAAGAAAAGATTTTACAAAGAAACAATGGATCTTTCTTGCAACGAAATAAAGCAGTAGACATGACATATCCAAAGATGGTCACGAGAAAGGTCGAGAAATTATTATACGGTTCTAGGCCAATCACTAGCTGATACTCGAACAAATGTGTCAGTTCTATTAAAAAAAAAATTGACTTGCATGTTAGCTAGTGATTGGTCAGGACCATATAATAATTTCTTGGAAGAGCTGTTCAGGTGTTTTTCCTGCACTTGGATTTCTGAGACGGAGGCGGCTTTTTGAAAGCACCCAACAAAGGAGAAGGCTTTTTAATGGCAGCAGTTGGTGCAGAGTTGCTGCGAAGGTAAACCGGAGATGATGCCGTGCTTGAGCCGCCATGTTCCACCATGCTAGTCATGGTGTCATTGACACTTTGGCAAGCTCTCAATTCTCTCGGATCAATCTGCAGCAACTTATCATCCCATACTATACCTGATGAACCTTGCCTCCTGAATGACTTCGCAGACCTCTGCAAAGCAGCCATATATCCTCTCTCTCTCTCTCTCTCTCACACACACACACACACACACACAAATGGTATTGGGTTGATTTAGTGTAAATCCGAGTGTAAATGATTGGTTTTTGAACTTATATATAGAGAGAGGATAGTAAAAATGAAGGAAGAACCAAGGAAAAAAGGCCATAGGATGGGATCTAAATATGATTTTGGCATGTATGTGTTTGTACTTTATATGTGTATATATATGCTAAGTGTATGCTAATTGTCTTTATTAAGGGAATCTAAATGATTTTGGTATGCATGTGTTTATACTTTATATGTATCAATATATGCTATAATGTATTCTAATTGTCTTTATACAGAAGAAAATTTGAATTTTTATACAGAATTCATGAACTTTCTTTGCTATGTCCTTTAACTTGTCCTTTCTCAAGCCATGCACATATACCAAATGAACTACCTATTTTCAAAGAATATTAAGTTGTCCTTTCTCAAGCCATGCACATATACAAATTTGATGGACTATTATTTAAACATAATTAATTAATTGAGAGAGATCTAAACTTGACATTTATCAGGCAGTGGACATTTTCTAATCATTTGGTTTGACATATTTTTATAATAAACTTGACTTGGCTCATTACATTCATTCAAATTGTGTCGCTGTAGCTCATCAGGTCAATTTGATTTTTTTAGTTTTCTATATATATATATATATATACACACACACACATTCTTGAACATATACCATTTTTTAGAACTCATCAAAATTATTTGTAGTTACAGATTTTCAGCACTGATGTCATCATTGTTATTCCTATATGACATGACATTTTAGGTCAGAACATTGTGAGTTTGGTAGAGAGAAATGGAAGAAAATAAAAAATAAAACAAAAGAAAAAGGAAATGGATGTATATGATTTTTGTTTTTGGTATAAATTGAAAGAAAAAAAAAAAAGGAAATGGAAGGATGTGGATGAATACATTAAAGTTTGATGAGTTAATTTTGTTATCGTTCCAAAACCCTGAAACTTTATTAATACCAAATTTGTCATTATTTTTATAAGAGAGAAATTTTTTTAAAAAGGGTATTAAATTTCGACAGTTTCCTTTCTTTCTTTCCCCAAATTACCATTCTTTCTTTTCTTTTTCCATCATTAATCAATCAAACACGATAAATGATTAACTCTGTACTCTCTTTTTCTTTCTTTTCTTTTCCATCATAATTAATGTTGGTATCATTTTTTTTTTTTAATCTTTTTCTACTGTACCAAACATATCCTTAAATATTGGAGCCACCAGCAGACTTCATTTAGGTGTTTAATTACTTATTTGCTGCTGCTGCTGCTGCTGCTTAAATTTGGTGCTCTTGTCAAGTTAAAGAGCAGTTAGTCTAAGAAATCTAGAGGGGAAGAAGAAAAAGAAGAAATGAAAAGCATCAACATCTATATAAATTTACTCTGCATCAGTTCTGGAATATACACTACAACAGTGTCGTCTTAACAGAAGATCAAAATTTCAGGTAAAGACAGTTTCAGTGGTAGACCTTTGGTATGGAACGCGTCGATCAGGAACCCCTTCTTCTCCACGTTTGTCTTCGAACCATTTCACAACTCTTTTACGAGGCAGATTAGTCACGTGTACAATGCTGCTAATCATCGCATTCTGCATTGATGTAATTGAACAGGGAGTATAAATAACCTTCTGATTTCCAGCAACAATGAGAGCAAAACTTTTTAGTTGTTTACCGATCAGCAAGAAGCACAAGACTTAATTCCCAACGAATTTTTTTTTAAAAAAAATAACAAGAATTTGGACACCAGTGACAAGAAGCAGATGTACAGAAAGAAATGTTCGTATACCGATGGGATAGTGATTTCTAATTGCCTTACTAAGGAAATGTGAAAAATGAAAAAATAATCAGATAAATGCTTAGGCATGTAATAGAACTTGACACAATGAGGTGGTACTTCCATTTCTATGCACTATTTAATAGGAATCCAGTTAAGTTTAATACAAGGATATGACCTAGATTCTAGACATTCACCATTTATTTATTTTTCAGAAATTTAGCCTAAAAATTGTTCTTCCTAATGTCACTTCATACAAACCCAAAAAGTGGCTTAACAACACTTCTATGTGATATTTTCACACCCAATACAGAAATCTGATTTTCTTTTTCCTTCTTTTTTCTCTTTTCAGTATATATTGTGGAAAACTAGTCACCTGTATCCAGAAATTATTTTTTAATAGAGAGCAAGTACTAATTACTACCTAGTTACTGATGACAAATTCAAGCATTCCACCATTTTTTCCCGGGTAAGTAGGGTGTCCCTACCACGTCAAGTGTGGGACTAAATGCTTTGGATACCTACAATAACCCCCTAAACCACAGGTATTGGGCTAGTCGAGGGTGGAAGCGTAAGGCTCCAAGGAGTTTAACACGAGACATGAGTTGTGTAGAGGCTCAGTGCCAATTCACCTATTCTAAGTGGGTTGACCAATGAATTATTCACATAACCATTGTACAAGAAACTTTACTCACAGTTGGGCGCTTTGTTCTTTTATAGACTCTCTCGAGGGTTTCAACCTGCACTTTCTTCAATCTCTTCTGAGCAGACCATCTGCTTTGCATGACGTGAATTGGTTCAACCTTCGCATCAGGTTTCTCTGCTTCTGTTTCTATTTCTGTTTCTGTCTCTGTTTCTGTTTCCAAAGAAGCAGTTTCCAAGGGTTTGCTTTCAGGCTCTGAGATTGTTGAAACAGGTTTATCGGGTAAAACAGCACTCATCATTAGAAGATCTGGAGGGGGATCACGAAGTAATTTGAGAACATCAGCTCTATCAAGACACAGATCGGCAGCAAGATTTTTTATCTGCAAGACAAGAAAAAGTAAGCATAACTAGAATAGACCATTGAAGATATAACATTGTAGGTAAGAATGTCAACACCATTGTACAAGTCCAGAAAGAAAAGTACGAAATAAAGTGAATTCTCTGTTTCTGTTATCCCTTTGTTAGATTTTCACTATTTCGTCACAATTCAGGACTACAGGCCCATTTGGCTTCTTGTAGCTTTTCTTGTGTTATAGGTAACATGGTATGTAAAGCACTTTTAAAAAATATTTGGTTTCCACAAATACTCTTTCTATATATTTTTTCCCTCTACTTGATAAAAACTAGAATCTTTAACTTCGCTTAAAAGCTCTATTGAGCCAAAAAAAATTTAGCTCTCTAACAGCAACTGCAAACGGTCACTAATTCTAAGCAAAATATGAATACGCGCTGAACTTGGTAATATCAATAGGAACTAATAGTTGTAGAAGGCAATGAAATATTCCTATATTATAATGAACTTATGTAGAAAGCCTTCGTTTGAAACAACCAAACTGATCTAATTGATTCACTCTGTTATTCTATTCAAGCAGAAATTTTACAGCATTATGTTAATCCTCTCAACAGGATGGCAGTTTCTTAAATGCTCTTCAAATCTCCAGCAAACTCAATGATTAGCTTCCTACAATTTGCCCTGGTTATGGTCCTAGCTGATAAGGCGAATTTTAAATTTCCAAGTAGCTTTCTGACATATTGAAGTGATAAGAGTCAAGAAGCTGTAAAGCACAGCACCATATAGGAAGCACTTCATGAGTTCCACAAAGGCAATGCCCCACCTTAGATTAATTTGCTTTAATGATTTCCACCTGGTTGGCTGGTACCTAAGTTTTTCTGGACCAATTAGAAACTTAATATTGTAACATTAGGGGTCCATTATTGTGGAACCAGAGAACAACTTAAACAATGTAGGTGGTGAGTACCCCCATGAATGTAACTTCTTCCTACAGATAAGTTTGATGGTAACACATAAGCATGCATTTTTACCGAAAAAATTGTTCTCGGATCATATCGACCAATTGATAATTGCTATTATTAATGCATAGATGACAATGTAAAGATACTTACACTAGTTTTACGGCGGCCATTCTTCAAAGCATATGCCAGTCTTTTAAGTTGCCACCTTTTAAGTTTCAATGGTTTTTCTTCCTCTTCTTCTTCATCATCATAATCTTCAGCTCCATCCTTGATTTTATCATCCTCAGTTGAATCAAGTACTACCAATCGTTCATCATCCCCTAGTGCATCTTCAAACTCTCGTTCTAGCCTTGCAAGATCTTCCTCACTTATCTCACCATCACCATCATCTAGAGATGGGTCATCATTTTTAAGATCATCTTCCAGCTGATTAAAGAGTGCCTCGAATGCATCTTCATCTATATCATCATCCTCTTTGATATCATTATGAGACGTTTTTTTCTGTGATAAAAAAAAATAATAATAAATAAATAAATAAATGTGGTGAGCACCCCCACAATTATAAATTCTTCCTACAGATTAGTTTGATGGGAACACATAGCATGCATTTTTATCAATACAATTACTATTTTTAACGCATAGATGACAATGCAAAGATACTTACACTAGTTTTATGGTGGTCCTTCTTCAAAGTGTATGCCTGTCTTTTAAGTTTCAACGTTTTTTTCCCCTCTTCTTCTTCATCATTGTAATCTTCAGCTCCATCATTGACTTTATCCTCAGTTGAATCAAGTACTCCCAATAGTTCATCATCTCCTAGTGCCTCTTCTAACTCACGTTCTAGCCTTGCAAGATCTTCCTCACTTATCTCATCATCACCATCATCTAGAGATGGGTCATCATTTTTAAGATCTTCTTCCAGCTGATTAAAAAGTGCCTCGAATGCATCTTCATCTGAATCATCATCCTCTTTGATATCATTATGAGACGAATTTTTCTGTGAATTATATATATATATATGTAAAGCAAATTACATCATATACCGTAGCATCCAAAAAATTCCTACAATCAAATTATATCTGGAAAATAAAAAATAAACTATACGAAACTTATTGGAGAAGAAAAAGAAAAAAGATAAAAGACAAAGAAAAGAAAGAAAGAAAGGTGTGCAACTCAGAAGTTCTACAGAAAATGAGTAGCAATTGATACAGTCCAGCCGTGAAAATTGAACACTTGCTCAACACCAGTGATGAGAAACAATGTCAAACCACATCTAGCTTGTGAGATCTAAATGTGATACTTTATGTTCCTAGAAAATATAAGCATGGTGGAGAATGTATACATGATAACTTGATTCATTTAAAATGCAACTAAATTACAAGAAAATTGCTCATGAATGACTTTTACATCCATCAGAGTCCAAATGCACCTGTGGTGGTGAAGTCAAGTATCATGTCACCTAATGAAACGACCTATTGCCTTCATTAGGTGTCAGCAAGTAAAGCATTGACCTAAGCATAGCCTATCTAAATGCACCTGTGGCGAACTCATATTTGATATTCCAATAGGCTTATTGCCGGGGCATTCATTAACTTTGTGGTGACTATTTGATCTGGCATTTAAGAATGTGCATGATAAGGCTATATTGTTCATTTAAAACTGCATTTTGCCTTCCTTCAAATTCATTTCATCTTATAAGTGAGTGATTTGAGACATAAAAAGTAAAGGGTGATTCGAGACATAAAAAGGGAAAACCGAGGATACCATAATCCCCAATTCCTTCAATTTTTGCAGACTTTTGCAATGCAAATTTCTAATACCTATTTGGAAAATGATGAGGACTCACATCAAACTAAAATTATGGAATGTTTTCAATGCCCATTCGTTTTCAGTGAAGTTTATGCTGTAACAACCCTAAATATAAATACAAACACGCATGTATAATTCTTAAGTTTAGATTTAATATCAAATGAATGGGCAGGGCTAACCCTGTAACCATACAATTAAAACCAAACTGATTCTGGATTTGAAATAATTAAGTTTTAACTCATTTTCCAACATTTAAAATGAACTAACTAGATGTAAAGCAATACAAGAGTTTACACTAATAGAAGATAAACTTATCACTGCAGAAAGTTTCTAAGCCAAAATGATTGTGCAAAATACACAGATAACAAAAAATTTGCCCCTAACAATTAAATTAAAAAACAAGTCAAACATTTAAATGCCATTATCTCACTACCCTTCATAGCTGAAACCTTTACAATCCGTATCCGCATAATTAGTAAAAAATTGAACATACAATTCTAAATTGCTCCACTTGGTTTATCTACCTCAGTTTGTTTTCTGGGCAACCAAACAAGGTTAAATTTAGAGGAGGTGAGAAAAAGTTTGTACCTTCTTTTTCTTGGAGGATGAAGAAGTGATTGCAGAGTTGGTGTTGTTTCGACGGCGGCGAGAAAAAGTGAGGACGGAGCGAGAGAAGGAGTGGCGTGGCAGGACGAGATTGGGATTGAGACCGTGAGGACCCACCAAGAGGCGATTGTTGTGTGGAGCTGATAGATATCGTAGAGTCATGGTGGATGAATGGAAGGAAGAGGTAGAAGCCATCGTTGTTCTTGTGCTGAGCTCTCTCTGTGTGCCTATATATATATATTTTTTTTATTGATGCCAACAGAAGAAGAAGTGGAGCTTCGTGAGGATGAGGAAATGAAAATCCATTGGGAAGGGTTTTAAGGGGAAATACACCATATGACCGTGTACAGATGACAACTTTTGCAACTGCCATTAATTTTCTTTTATTTTCGTTTTTCTAGAAGGGTTTAATATAATGAATTTTTTGGAAACTTCATAACTGTTTTTTTTTTTTTCAATAAATATATTGACTTACAATATACACACCATTTAAATTAAAAATAAGATTTAAAAACTAAATTTAAAAATTTTTCGAATTCCTGCCAACTCTGTCAACCGAATACACCTTCATAACTATTTTGAGTCATAGGATTTCAAAAAGTTCAAAAGATTTAGGTAAATTTCGCACAATAATTTCTAATAGAGATTTACTAGTAATTATTAAGATATATTTAATTGTTACCTAAGGACCTTATTGGAAGGTTTTAGGAGTTATTTTAATCAAGCTAAACCTTATTAAATACTAATTATTTACTGTAGCAATGAGGGAAAAAAAAAAAATTAAACGTCCTCGTAAGAATGAAAGAGAAATATGTGTATTATATGCGTATGATTGATTTCAATTTTAAAGTGCCAGAAACGCCTGGCACTGTTCTCTCTTCCTCTCTCTAAAGCTCAATCTCTCTCTCTCTAGACTTTCTTCTCTGTAATGGCAACTTCTTCATCTTCGAAAGGATGGTTGAGCAATCTCTCGACTTACGCATCTCGCGTATATTTCTTCATTATCATCCTTCAGATCCCTCTTTTCAGGTAAAACCTCTCACACCACTCAAACCCAATTCGTCTCAAGCCATTGGGTTTTCAAATTTAAATTGTCAAAAAACGAAAGAAAAAAAAAAAAAAACTATATACCCTTTACTTATTTTCATTTCTATGATCTGTCTCTCTCTGTTTCTCTCAAAATTTTCATTACCCAACTTGTTCTTCAATCTGGGGTTTGCTCACACTTGTTAGTCATCATGTGTTTAGAATTTAGATGCTCTTTGTTTTGATGAATCTGTGAGATTTTTGTACACACTTAAAAGGTGAACTACTAATGAAGTATTATTTAACTATAATTAGATTCCATTTTGTTTCCGGTGGTACTATTAGATCTAGGTTTGATATATTTATTGTATCTCTAATAATGATAACCCTGTTGTTTTTTGTTATCAAAATGTTGGTAATTGATCTACAGAGTATAACTTGTTTGTTATTACAGAAATGGTTACCAGAAAAAGACCATAAATTTTGCAATCATTCATACCTAGCATATTTGTTTCAGACTTGTACTTGAATTAATTTCAGTATTGGTTTTAATTTAATTTAATTTTGTAAGTACCATAGCAAGTAGTAAACCAACCCAAATAAGTTGGGTCAAACCATTGAAGCAAAGAGTTATTTATTAGCATGAAGTTTAGTTACTTCTCTCATCATAGCAAATGTTAGGTTTCTATCGGTCTATTCGTCAAATTGATCTGAACCCTTGTATAATTAGTCATAGAATGAATTGTGTTGAAATTGTACTAGAAAATTTTACTTTTGCAAGTTATTTGCTCTCTAAACTTTACCCATTTGATCACTGGCATTATTTGCTTAATCCTACTAAAATTAAGGTACTAAATGGACTTGTATCTAAAAATAAGCTTCCTATATATGTCATAGCTCCCCTTTTGAACGATTTTCTAATATATTTTTACTTATCAAAAAAATATATATGTCATAGCTCATGAGTTATTTCAATAGAAGTTCATGTAATATTTTTCTCTAAACAATGAAAGATAAAATTCCTTCTGTTGTTAATTTAATTATATACACACTCTCTCTGATCTTAAAACTTCTATATATGCTGATCTTAACCTTTATTAACATTAAATCTAATTTACCTATTGTGATGTTGTAGGACAGATCTTAAATCTTTGACATAGTTTCTGTGTAACTTGATCTTAATATGATACAAATTATGTATGACTATCAAAAAGTCTTGAGATTAATTGACCTTTTTTAAAAAATATTATTCAGTTTTGTTCCTACTAGTGCGGGGCACTGGGAGGGCGGAGTAGGTAGACATGACTTCTGCTTTTGTTTAAGTGAATTGGTTGCTGTTAGACTTGAACCCATCTCCATATCTTGATTTGGTTTAAGTAGGTTACATATGTATGAGATAATTATGATATGTTTTATATAGGGCATATCAACTTACTTTTAGTGTTAGAATAGTTTGATAAAATTTCTGGAATATATATGTGTGTGTGTATATATATATATATATTTTATCTGGAATATATATATGTGTGTATATATATATATATATATTTTTTTTTTCAATCCAATCATTAGATTATATAACTTAGTTGTGCTAATCATGCACACCAAATATCTAGTTAATCAGACATATGTAAGTGTTTCATAGTTCTGTTTCTCTACATAATATATTAGTATAAAATTCTAGGTGTTCTAAATTTCCAACCGGTTGATCTGTGGTATGTTTGATAAGTATGAGAAGGTCATTAAATCCACTGGAGGGATTGGAACAAGTTGAAATCTATAATGAATCATTGGCAGGTGTAAGTCTAGTATGCCACATTTAAATGCAAAAGCCTTATGTCATATCACCTAAACATTCCATATTTACCATGCATAATATTTTCAAGTTCCAATGTTATCTTGTCAGTTGTTGGTGTCTAATGTTCTTGAAAAGTGATCGTACAATATTAAGCTTTTGACTGTCACCTGGTGACTTCAAGATCCCTAAGATCCGTCTCCTGAGATCACCCTTGCTCAAATGTGGGTATCAGAAGCCCACATGCCGCTGAACTTGTTTTCTCTTACTGTGTCCAAGTTATTTGCTTGTTTTCCTTTGTATGTTATCTCTTTCTGTATTGATCTTGTCTTGAGATCTATTATCATTAACATAATTATTTGGTAAATCTGTATGTACCACTTGCCTTTCTCCATGGTAGGTGGACAATAAATACTTCTCTATCATGGAGATGAATGGCAACCAAGAAAAATTTAATATACTTCATGCTATTTCTTCAGCCTTTTAGTGAATTTTATGTTACTTTATCAGGGTACCATGTAGAAGTGGTATGTGTTCAACCCCTATTCAGGTCACTTCTTCCCAGTTAATTGCAAGTGAGATCATCCCAGTTTCTGTAGTGAAGGGCCTTCTCTATCCTGGAGCCATTACAAATGGCCTCATCAGCAACATGACTGTTCCAAGCTGGGATAATCTCCTGAACATCTACAACCTGACTTATGCGAAGGAAGCTTCTGCAGTAACTGATCTACAACGTCTAGAGGTTTGGTTTTTCAAAAGCTCATTTCCCTGCTTTCTCTCGTGCTTATGCTGTTATGGGGACAAATTGAATATAGCAGCCCATCTGTCAAATTTTTTTGTTTTGAAAAGTGACTTTTTGTCTTGACTCTTGTGTGCTTTACTTCTACTTTCTCCTGAATTTACTTTGTAAAAGCACTAAACATCCCCTCAAAAAACTTCTCCAAACCAAAAAACCCACTAGAGAACTTTTCCGTCCAAAAACATCAAGATTTGAAATATAGTATCTAAATGACCGACTGTTAAGCCCGAGTAATTTTGAAGAGGAAATTGCCATTGCTTTCATGCATGAATACCAAACCACACAACAAACCTACCCCCTAATCCCCAATCTGCACCCAAAACAGGAAAAAGTAATAATAGCTATTGTACTGTTGAGAGAAGGGGCAGAACGGGTTTACCACCACCTCCATAATTCAAGCCACCGTCATCATTACAAACCATTGTCGCCTTATAAATAGCTATCAGTTTCTTCACTACTATATGCCCCATCCGCCCATTATCACCACCTATTTCTGTTGCTACTACGAGTAAAGACAATTTCGGTGGCCGATGGACCCAACATCCATCAATCACTTGAATTGCTACTGTCCCTGTTGAACCTACCTCCAATCACCATCCCAATCATTAGTTCCATTTCCTAAATAATCGGTTGTATTATCTTCAAAGTCTAGTAACTAACACACCATCAATCAATACACTGCGTGTGTTACCGACACACATACACATGTAAACACACCCATTCAGATTTCTCTCTCTCTCTCTCTCTCTCTGGTATTTCTCAACAAATTAAATCAACATTCAGTCTATTATGTGCATCCTTGTGTTTTTGTGATTGTGACTTCCCAAAATCAGCACTGTGGCAGAGGTAGAGTCAATAAAACACACAGAAATTTTCATGCACACACATACATTTACGTAAAAAATCCCTATTTGTACATGTTCATATATATATATATAGAGAGAGAGAGACACACACACACATGCACACGCACACATCACAGGCTTAGTGTCCTTTTGTAACAGAGGTGGTAGTGCCATGGCCAGTATTAGTGTCTATCTCGCTGATTGAAATACTCGTGACACGAGATTTCAGACTCTAGTTTATGATGTTTTTATGTTTTAGGGGCATTTTTATACAATAAAATTCTTCCCTGAGGGCACTTAGCAACAGTTTTATAATTGGATTTTTCTAATCCAGTTTTGGTTTTGTAGATCTTCTTGGCTATATATTGCTGATTTCTAGAATTGAAGCCTTCTTTGTAGGTTTTTGATAGTATTATTGTCATTTCTGTTTTTTGGTAATAATCTCTGGAATCTCTGGATACGACAAATAATCATCCCTTTCAGGCATCACTTTAGTCTATTTTGATTATTTTCTTGTTCCTCCCAATACCTGCTGATTTCCATCTACTTTCACTTTCTCACTTATGAGCTATGATCAGAAAGGGGTCAATCATTTGTTAATTAACAGTACTCCATTATCTCAGATACATGTTACATATACACTACTGTAGTATAATTTGTTACATGAATTTTGTACCCAACTTTATAAAGACTCTGGATGTCCATAACTTATAGTTGGCACACATTACCCTGACAGTCACTTCCTGTATTTCTGGAGCCATTGCTTCCTGATTTTCGTTTTTCCATTTTCACTTTGCTCTCCATGTTTTAACTTCGTATTTCTTTATTTCTTTTTATCTTTTATTCTTTCAGTGCCTCCTATATAAATAATTTGAGTGATCGGTACTTGATATCACTTGCAAAAACAGGATTGAGTAAATTTATGTTCATCCAATTTGGTGGCTGCTTGGGAACATTTAGATTTCAAACAGATAAACATGAAGTATATTGAAATCCTTCAAATCATGTAAGTGAACATGAACGAGCCACAACTGCTGGTTTCGTTCTCTTCCTCAAAATATCCGCAAAACTTGCCAGACAATGTTCCTTTGTGTGTTTTCCCATGAATGAATATTTGGATAAGCCTTCTTACCACGATTCTAATTTTAAGCCCCTCTCTTTTTTTTTTTTTTTTTTGGTCTTTAATCTCAATGCTCTTTGACCAGGTTCTTGCAGGAAGCTACTTCTCTGTGGCAGGGGCACTTGTGGGTATAATGAAACCTGGAAGGATGAGCATGTTCGGGACCCTTCTGATAATTTGGGGCCTTGTCAAGGAAGGTATCCTTGGAAAACCAGTAAACACAGATCCTGCAAAAGCCGTTTTTGTCTACCCGACAATGTTGATTGTGCTGGTTTGTGCCTTCTCTTCTGTAAAGTACGACGTAAAGAAGGTTATGAGAAGTGCCCCGCCTCGACCTCTTGCAAAACCTCTGAAGAGCTCTTCAAAATCTAAGCTGAAATGAGTTTGAGATGTTAATACTTCTGGTTGGAAACGGATCTTATTCTTCTTATAGTGTTTTGTGGTTGATGAGTACAACAATCTGTCTATGCCCCTGCCAAATCATCCTTTTTGAAGCATTTTATTGCTTAATTCAGTCTTAGATTTGTCCAGGTTTCAAGGTTCATTGATTAGTAAAGCAACAGCATGTTGAATATGTATGAACTTGTTAACACTCTCTTTTGTTGCCCATAAGATGGAAAGAAATGGTGTGCAAATTTTGAATCATTCACAAGTTGGGGTACAAATTTTGCTTTGATTATTGTAGTATTGTGGTAGGACTTTAATTTTAGTGAATTATTTAAAAGTTCAGATATTTTTTAAATTTAATTAGACTAAATTCATTTAATGGCATTAAAAAAAAATTTAAAAAAAATTTCACAGTGGGGCAACCCAAACGTCAACCCACCCGATTTTGATGTGGGATGGGTATAGAAAATTACAATAATATCTTTTGAAGACAAGTTTGGGATTGGGTTAACTTGTCATGAAACTTGTATGTCTTATTGGAGAAAATTTTACATTGTTCTGGACTATATAGCTACATGGTTCAGGGACTTTATAACGGCATGGTCTATGTCAATTACAACTTGTCAAACACACATTATCTTTATTTATATTTTTACTTACCTGTTATGATTTTTTGGGACCATGTAATCCGAAATATGTAATAATTTCTCATCATTTACGTCAGTATGTGTTGCTTGTCCAAAGCTTCAAGCTTTCTTTAGGTTGTTTTTAAATATTCTTTCCTTCTCCATTAATTCTCATTTATCGAAAAAGCAAAAACAATGTTACACAAACATGTTACAAAAGAGTTATTCCTCGATTTTTATATTGTTTTATTCATGAAGAGAATTTTTTTTCTTTTTAGACTGTAGTAAAGAAAAAGTAAAAGACAAGTATATATATATTATAAAAAATTTAGTGGGACAGTACTAAGATTTTAATAAAAATTGTATGTATATAATAGAAATAAAAAAGACTTTAGTGGGGCCACATTTGATGACGACACTTGCCGAACATGAGAATTGCGGGACCAATAAAGCTTGGATTATATCAAATTACAAGTAAAGTATCCAATCTCCAACGTCATCTTGAAACAAACTTACGTGATGCCTAAAATTAACATAAAAGCAAATATATAGTTGTCTGATATGAGGGTTTTTATTCCTTAATTTTTTTTTTTTTATTTCAAGAAATCAATAAAGTGGCAAAGTAATATTCCTATACAGCGTCTAGCTCCGGCTCGCCTGTTTCTTCCATCCCTAGCTTGCTAGTTCTATACTGCTTGGAATGAAGTGGTGAATTTATGTATATTATTTATCGCAAAACAATTTATTTACCGGGAAAAAAAATTATATATATTGCTTTATTGCTGCGTGTCTCACTTCCAGTGTGGTTGATCATCCTCTCGGACCAGCTACTGATCATCGCCTTGGTAAGCTATTGTCTCACCGACTATATAAATGCAACAGTACGCAAACGACGTGATGGAGGTGCCAATACACGGACCGGCATCTAAGGAAAGCTACCTGTTCACAAATGCCAAGAAAGGTGCTTGGAATGAAGTGGTGAAGTTGTACAAGGATCACCCAGAGGTTCACAAGCTCAAGGTCAACACAGCAGGGGACACCTTGTTGCACATTGTTGTCTCGGAAGGGAAACAAGATGTTGTTGTAGGGCTAGTGTGGGCACTGAGTACGAATGTGGAGGCTCTGAGAGTGAAAAACGAGAGAGGGAATACCCCTCTCCATGTTGCAGCATCACTGGGACTCGACAGGATGTGCGATTGCATTGCGAGTAAAGACTCTGAGCTAATCGGTGTTCGGAACAATAAGGGAGAGACTCCTTTCTTCTTGGCCGCTCAGCGCGGTAACAGAGACGCTTTTCTTCGTCTCCATTCCATCTGCGGCACCGAGCGAGGCTACGAATATTGCAGAGGGAATGGTGGTGAAACTGTTCTTCACTCCACAGTCCGTGGAGACCATTTTGGTATGCACTACTCTTGATATATTTTGAGTATTGTCCATATGTCTATATGTGATGTAACTGAACGTATGTTCAAATTAAGTCATAATGTTTCAAAATGATCAAAATACTGATACTCAAACACATTTGTCTCTTCTGTAACTTGAACCCTAACCTTCTTTTGGGGTTCATTGATAATTACTCTTACTATATATTTACATGTACGTACCACATGCAGATGTACCATTCTTAATCAAGGGTTGTGTGACTCAGTTGTATCTTTTCTACCTCCCAAAGTAGATGGTGAGGGTTTGAGTTTTCAAAGAAACAAAGTGTGTATCATTTTTTGTGCAGACCATATTATCATATACCACTTTTTCTACACAGAAAAAGGGGTACCTATGTGTACAAAAAGTGATACCTATATATGTGTATAATAGTTGTATGTACATGCACAAAAGTGGTATCTGAAAATAGTAAGAGTAGTTTAATCCATGTCAACATTTTTTCGAAAAATTGTGACTTTAGCTCCGTCAAATGATAAATATGGATACATAACACCATGTATTCGTAATAATACCTATAACTTTGATGCATATACCAACTTAGATATCTGTACAAAATTTAGAATATATATAGTGTTTAATTATGATTGATTTTGTAATTTAATCACGTCAAGAAAGATGCAATATTCGGATGTACAATATATATATATATGTATGATTAATTTATGTCATTAATTAATTTATTCACTGATCACACATTAATTTATTTGTTTGACAATATATTTATCTTCGGTCCTTGACAGATTTGGCATTTCAAATAATTATTAGATACGACAAACTTGTGAACCATATCGATGGACAAGGACTTTTTCCTCTCCATCTTCTTGCCAACAATCCTTCGGCCTTCAGGAGTGGGAGTGATCTTGGAAGGTTCAAACAATTCATTTATGATCATTGTAAGTCTTAATCTGTCTCCTTCGGCCTTCAGAAGTTGATACATGTTCCGTAGTTATATATTTATTTAGAGTAGTGATACTTAGGTCGAAAAATTAGTCCTTGCCGAAATATTATTTATTAGTTATTTATGCAAAATATAAGAATGCAAAAATTATGTACAATTAACTATCCGACTTTAAAATCATTTTTCATATACGTAATACCCGTTGTTATTTGCAAAGGTATATCCGTTGTTGAGCTCAGCAAAGCGGAAACTAGCTATGACCAACTTAATGGATTGGAGAGTGAAGTCGTAAAGGTTAATCCAATCAATACTCAAGGGAACTACCATACCTGCATCAACTTCTTTCGACTATTTGGTGTGTATTTGTGTTTTTTTTAATATATATATATATATATATATATATATCTTCAGTGTGACTGATTTCAAGTTTAAACTTGAGTTCCTGAGCTGAAAATTTGGTACCTCTCCATTTGTATATTTTCAGTGTGACTGATTTCAAAGTGGTTATCTTTAGCTAGGTTCAAGCATAAAATTAAACTTATTTATGATTTTTTAGTTATTTTCTTGTGTTATAAAGTGTTGAAGTTGAAACTGAGCAAATTATTATTATTTTCACTGTCAGTTACTTTCGGAAAAAATACTCAAGAGAATGACGCGGAAGCATATGGCAATGGATTAGTTAATCGGAACCAACAAGGTGAGCTTTTTAATTAAAACCCCACATTCATAATCTCTTTTATATATTAAGGTTCGGCTTCAAAGATAGTAAGTGTTACAAGGGAGAGTTTGTCCCATATCGAATTCAGATAGAAAAATGTATGAATATAAATGAGTAGGTATGCAGTACTAACCAATAATTTAAGTATCCACCTTTATAGTAAAGTGATTTTAGTATTCCAACACAATCTCTAAATTTAAAGGCAATAATTATAATTAATTAATATATATTTTTTGGTAAGCTAATGAGTAATATATTTTTCTTACTTATAACAAAAATTAATTAAGATATGAATAGTGACACACAGTCGAACACATTCGACTAAATTTATGTGAGTAAAATTGAATGACATGATAAATGATTATATATATTATCATACTTAATGACATCACGAACGTATTTGAGCATTATTAATTAATTCTTTTATACTGAATTTCAGCTTTTAGAGATCGCCTATATGGCAAGTGCATCAAGCTAATATCAAAGATGATGAAAATATTTGGTACGTACAGTATGATCCATGCATATATAATTAGTTAAGGTCATTAACAATTAATCAACATATGTATGTGTGTGTGTGTCTAACATGTATATGTTAGTCCCTTCTGAGATACGGAAGATTAAGATGGAAAAAGAGAAGCACACATGGTCCGTCCAGGTTATGAAAGAACTTCTCAACCGCGACTCTCCATATAATTATGATGTCAAACCAAAGCCGCCTTCGTCAACTAGTGATGGCACAGACACAGTTGTGAAACAGCCCAACAATGGTAATTAAAGCATCAATAGTTTCATTTCAATCATTGCACTAACTAGCTATAAGAAAATGTTCTATTTCAAAATTCAGTCATAGATATTAAATTAGGGATAATTACATATGTATGAAATTTTGGACTACTATGCATTTAAGATTTCATGGAGTAAAGGTCGCTATGTTTTGATAAAATAGAGTTAACCAAAATACTGACGTAAACATAAAAAGACATTGTTCATTTGCCCAAACCACCCTTTACTATTTATGAGTATCACTTATATTGATGGTATGTACTAATTTTTTGCACAGAATTAAATACTATTTTTATACACACATGTACTATTTTTTGTGTGCAAACCATGCATCAAAATGGTCTGCAAAAAAACCAAATACTTGCGTCCACAAAAGATGGTACCTCTATGTACAATAATAGTACTTACATACACAAAAGTGGTACCTAAAAATGTTAAGGGATTAGCAACGTTTTCTCATGTTTACATCAGTATTTTGATCAACTCTATTTTTTTTCGAAACATCATGACTTTGATTACATAAAATAGTAAATAAGGATCCAAAAGTCCATGTATACACAATTATGTATATACATAGATATATGTATATATAGTTTATAGAATTGAATCATGGATGTGATGTGTTCGGTGATGACAGGCATGGAAAGTAAGGTGTCGCCCTTTTTAGTCGCTGTAAAGCAAGGCATCATAGAAGTGGTGCAGGAAAACCTTGAATGTAATACGTTGGCCATTTATGACACCGATTCTGATGGCAAAAACGCGGTGCTCTTGGCAGCAGAATATAGGCAACCCCGTATATACAACATGTTGCTCAACCTTAAAGCGAAAAAGAAAGGACTGGACGCTATATTTGGTGAAGTGGATAACAATGGCAACACTGCATTGCACCTTGCTGCCATAATTAGCCCTTTCCTTACTGCAGCCGCCCCATTGCAGATGCAACGTGAAATCAATTGGTACCTGGTATGTATATATATACATACATATACATTTGTGTGTAAACATATATATATATATATATATATGCGCACACACACATATGAAAAAACATTGGGATTATTACATATAAATGGTATTAATGGCTCATATTTACTATTTGATAAAGTCAAAGCCTCGTCATTTCAAAAAAATGAAATTGACCAAAAGACTGATCACTCTCACAGAGATACTAGTTTTAGGCATATAGGTACCACTTTTTGTGCATCAAGTATCACTTTTTTACTTTTATTCACATAGGTACTACTTTTTATGCATCGAGTTTAATTTTTTTTTTGTACAACACAAAAAGTGGTATCTGTTGACAAAAAATGGTATCCGCATGCACAAAAAGTGGTACCTATATGCTAAATATATATGATATCTATGTGAGGGTAAACAACATTTTTTCATATCTTCATTTTTTCGAAACTATATGAGACTTTGATTCCATCAAATAATAAATATGAGTCATTAGCACGGTTTATATATAATAATCCCTAACATTTTATAATCTTTGAATTTACATGATAATGATAATGTACTGGTTTAAATGCACTGCAGTTCGTCAAGAAGTCCGTGCCATTGCATTTACATGAAAACAAAAACAACGCAGGCAAGACATCAAAGGAAGTGTTCATCGAACAACACGAGGACCTCTTCGAAGCCGCTGTTGAATGGTACAAAAGCACCTCCACCGCATGTCTCGTCGTCGCCACCCTCATCGCGACAGTGGCCTTCACCACTTCAACTACAGTGCCCGGTGGCGCCAACCAAGACACAGGATCTCCAGTTTTGGAAAATCAGCCAGCATTTCTGTTCTTCGCAATCTCCTCCTTGTTTGCCCTATGCTTTTCGGTTATATCTATCATCCTTTTCGTATCACTTTCAGCTTTCCCAAGCAAGCATCGGAGAGAGTTGGGGTCCTTTCCTCACCATAAGTTTGTGTTGGCTTTGACTTCACTCCTAGCCTCCATAGTCGCTATGTTAGGCTCCTTCTGTGCAAGCCATTTCCTTCTTGTCAAGGAAAAACTCTCCGTGAAGGCGTTTCCACTCTATGTTTTCACATGTTTGGTGGTTTATCTTTTTGTTATACGTCCCTTATACGATGATTTTATAAAGCCCATCCTTGGAATAAAGTCCATCCATCTAAGCACATCCATCTAATTAAGCCCATCCTAAGTACAACCTTAACGATAGGCAGTGGTTGGTGTGTCAAACTTATGTTACGTGTTTGGAAGTTAATTCAGACTTATATTCTATCTTTGTAGTTTTTGAAATTCAAATAAATTGGCTTGAACTACTCTATCTTACGGATGTTTATCTTTTGTCTTATATATGTGTTTATTTAAAGAGGCCATGTAATCAGATTTTTATGCAGCATAAAAAGTCTTGTTATCTTATATACGTATATTCTCATTATCCTTTCTGATAGTTTAATACAAATAGCCAAAAAGAATAACATTATATTCAATGATGACATGGATCAAAAGGCTACCAATTTTCGTACATTATTCCATCTTTCTTACGTATTAAGCTGTGAAGGGGGCTTATAAGGAGGACTTGTCTCGTATCGGATTCCGATGAGAAAATAAATGGGTATACATGAGTTGGGTGTTAATCTCACATAACAGTTTAAGTTTTTAAGTCGAACCGCAAAGCACCCAATCTGGCCTTTACGGTTGGCATCAGAGGTAGACTCAGTCACCCCCATCCCGGGTAGGCACGGTGGCTCGAGTTGTAATGAGAGAATTGCGAGTTCGAGTAGGAGAGAGTGTTATAAAGATGACTTGTCCCATATCAGATCTAAATGGGAAGGTGAATGGGTATCTATGGATTGCGGATATATATATATATATATATATATATATGGGTTGCGGATCTGGATGGGAGCCCCACCTAACAAAGGTAAGGCCACAACTTGGATGAGTTGGACGGGTTAGAGATATAGCTCGAGCCTAACTCGAAATATAAAATGTTCAATTCTAACTACCAAACTTGAATCCAACTCATCCTTTTATTTTCAAACTAGGTTTTGCAACTCTGATTGAGAATTTGAGTAATGGCCAATCACCACACTGACCTTGAATTAGTTTTAGATTAAATTACTCTTAAATGTAATTTTTTTAAAAAAAATTATTACAATTTTTTAATAAATTACAAACAAATTCTTAGAAAATTAATCCCCCAAAGTGTCAATATATAATTAATAAATTAAAATTTAAATAAAGTAAGTTGAAAAGAAAAAAAGTGATAGTAATTTGAATATTATATATGATGTATTTAAAATATTAAATAAATATGAAAATAATATTAAATTTTGGTTTCGGGTTGGCTTGAGGTGCAGCCCAACCCCAATAAATATGAAACTAATACTGAAGTTGGACAAGGATAGCCTACAACTGTGGAGAAAATATATAATATTTAGAGAGTATTTTGACACTTGGTATTCTTCCCAATAAAAACATTTAAATTCACTTTAAAAAAAATTACTTTTCTATAAAAATAAATAATAAAAAATTCATTAAAAGGAGTATCACATATCAAGTTCCGGTAATGCATTGTTTCTGAAGCTTGTCGCCAAACTTTCTCAAAGTGAAATATGCCCACTATCAGAACTGTATTCCTTTATTTTTTTTTATACTTTACCCGGGTAGTGTTGTTCTTGACTTGCTTAGGTTGTTTTTGCATATTCTTGTGCTGACTCCGAATCTTCTCCACTCGTTTAGGTTGTTTTTGCATATTCATTCCTTCTTCAATCAATTTTTTGTTTATCGAAAGAACCGAACACATAGTACACAATCCATATTATTATAGTATAAAAGAAGTAAAAGAGAATTCTACTACTATATAAAAGGATCAGAAAATTAATTAAGGTCAAACTATTATTATAATCCAAGCTTTTGTTAATGTGCACGTACACATGCAATGCTAATTGTCCATAAAGTTTGATTATGTATGAACTTGTTAACACTCTCTTTTGTTGCCCGAGATGGAAAGAAATGGTGTGCAAATTTTGAATCATTCACAAATTGGGGTACAAATTTTGCTTTGATTATTGTAATATTGTGGTAGGAGTATTCATTTATTTTTCTCAATGGTATTAAAAGAATAATAAAAAATTCACAGTGGGCAACCCAAACATTGAGCCACCCGACTCTGACGTGGGACGGGTATAGAAAATTACAATAATATCCTTTGAAGACAATTAAGTTTGAGATTGGGTCGACTTATCATAAAACTTGTCTAAGTGGAGAATATTTTACATTGTTCAGGATTATATGACTATATGATCCATGTCAATTACAACTTGTCAAGTAGATGTGTCATCGTTATTCATATTTTTATTTGCCTATTATGATTGATTGGGAGTGTGTAATAATTTCTCGTCATTGATGTCTGAATGTGTTTGCTTGTCCGAAGCTTCAAGATTTGTTTAGGTTATTTTTGAATATTCTTTCCTTCTCCATTAATTCTCATTTATAGAAAAAGCAAAAACAATCTTACACAAGCATGTTACAAAAGAGTTATTCCTAGATCTTTATATTGTTTTATTCATGAAGACATTTTTTTTCTTTTTAGACTGTCGTAAAGAAAAGGTAAAAGAGAAAAATTACAAAGCTAAAGAAAGGCTTGATCAAGGTCCTTCTTGCTGCAACCAACAAAAGCATGATGCAGTCTGTCTACAGTCCACACCATGGGTGTAAATTGATCTGCTGAAATAAGAAAGAAGAAGGGCTGATGAGATAGCAATAATGAATCGTAAATAGCGTTCGGATTCAAATTCCATAGATAATCTTACTAGGATTGTCTATAATCATAAACAAATGAAAGACGTAGGCTTGCTAGGTAAATCAATTTTTCATCATTTATAAACATGTTTCTTCCTCACATCTCTAGCTCTCTCCTTTTTGTCTTTGTTGTTGGGTTTTAAGATCAAGATATTTTTATTACTTTGTAGAATCATTTGTACAATTAATTATTAAGAGATTATATACAAAACTAAAATAACAAAAATTTAACATGGTAACTTTTATTAATTCAAATAAGATTTTGTTTTCTTTGAAAACTACTGTATAACAATACAATGAAAGAGATGTAGTTGATTACTCTTTTTCATAATTTAAAACTTTACTAGAGACAAGTATATATATTATCAAAAATTTAGTGGGACAGTATTAAGATTTTAATTAATAAAAATTGTATGTATATAATAGAAATAAAAAAGACTTTAGTGGGGCCACATTTGATGACGACACTTGGTGAACATGAGAATTGCGTGACCAATAAAGCTTGGATTAGATCAAATTACAAGTAAAGTATCCAATCTTCATCGTCATCTTGAAACAAACTTACGTAGATGCCTAAAATTAACATAAAAGCAAATAGTTGTCTGATATGAGGTTTTTTTTTCCTTAATTTTTTTTTTATTTCAAGAAATTAATAAAGTGGCAAAGTAATATTCCAATACAGCATCTAGCTCCCCTATATATCTTCCATCCCTAGCTAGCTAGTTCTATATTGCTTGGAATTACCTCCTGTAGGAGTCTGGGTCGTGTCTCAGTTCCAGTGTGACTGATCATCCTCTCGAACCAGTTACTGATCATCTCCTTGGTAAGCTATTGTCTCACCGACAATACTTACGCGAGAGTATGCGGACGACGTGATGGAGGTGCCGATACACCGACCGGAGTCTAAGGAAACCTACCTGTTAACAAATGCCAGGAAAGGTGCTTGGACTGAAGTGGTGAAGTTATACAAGGAACACCCAGAGGTTCACAAGCTCAAGGTCTATACATCAGGGGACACCATGCTGCACATTGCTGTGTCGGAAGGAAAACAAAGTGTTGTTGATGGGCTAGTGTGGGCACTGAGTGCGAATGTGGAGGCTCTGAAAGTGAAAAATGAGGAAGGGAATACCCCTCTCCATGTTGCAGCATCACTGGGGCTCGACAGGATGTGCGATTGCATTGCGAGTAAAGACTCTGAACTAATCGGTGTTCGGAACAATAAGGGCGAGACTCCTTTCTTCTTGGCCGCTCAGCGCGGTAACAGAGACGCTTTTCTTCGTCTCCATTCCATCTGCGGCACCGAGCGAGGCTACGAATATTGCAGAGGGAATGGTGGTGAAACTATTCTTCACTCTACAGTCCCCGGAGACCATTTTGGTATGCACTTTTCTTCGTCTATATATGATGTAACTGAATGTATGTTCTTTCCGCTTATTGATTCAAAGTTACTATGTTTCAAAAAAATAAAGTTGATCAAAATTCAGAGGAAGTGACGGTAAAACACTCTTAACTATTTTCATGTACGTACCACACGCAGATGTACCATTCTTAACTAAAGTCTTGTAAGCTAGTTATATCTTCGCTACTTTTCAAAATAGATGGTGAGAATTCGAGTCTCTAAAGGAACAAAATGAAAGTATATGAGTTTCTTGTCAAAGAAAAAAAAATTATACCACTCTTACGCATGTAGGTATCATTTTTTGTGCACACCATATCATCATATATCACTTTTTCTGCACAAAAAATGGATAGCTATGTGCACAAAAAGTGATACATATATATGTGCATAAGAGTTGTATGTACCTACACAAAAATGGTATCTGAAAGTAGGAAGGTTAGTTTGGACAATGAACCATGTATTTCCACGTCCATGTTAACATTTTTTCAAAAAATTGTGACTTTAGCTCTGTCAAATGATAAATAGGGATCCATAACACTATGTATTCGTAATAATACTTGTAGCTTTGATGCATATACGAACTTAGATGTCTGTACAAAATTTAGCATATATGTAGTGTTAAATTATGATTGATTTTGTAATTTAATTACGTCAAGAAAGATGCAATATTTGGATGTACAATATATATATATATATATATATATATATATATATATATATATATATGATTAATTTATGTCATTAATTTATTTATTCACTGATCACGCATTAATTTATTTGTTTGACAATATATTTATCAATGAGCTTCGGTCCTTTGACAGATTTGGCATTTCAAATAATTATTAGATACGACAAACTTGTGAACCATGCCGATGGACAAGGACTTTTTCCTTTCCATCTGCTTGCCAACAATCCTTCGGCCTTCAGGAGTGGGAGTGATCTTGGAAGGTTCAGACAATTCATTTATGATCACTGTAAGTCTTAATCTGTCTCCTTCGCCCTTAAGAAGTCGATGCATGTCCCGTAGTTATATATATATATTTAGAGTAGTGATACTCAGGTTGAAGAATTGGTCATTACCGTAATATTATTTATTGGTTATTTATTGTTCAATTCATTGGCAGTTTATCCTTAACTTCTTACATCTCTTTAGTTTTCCATCAACATTTATTCATTGAATATCTCAGTGCATCACCACCCCAGCCTATTCCATCTCCCTCAATGGTGAATTGTTTGGATTTTTTAAGGGTAGGAGGGGCATTAGACAAGGGGATCCCATCTCTCCATTGCTTTTTGTCCTTGCAATGGAGGTTCTCACTCTCACAATTAACCACCAAGTCAGGCAAAATCCTAGCTTCAAGTATCATTGGAGGTGCAAAAAATTGAGTATCACTCATCTCTCATTTGCAGATGACTTGTTGATGTTTTCTCATGCAAATTCTGATTCAGTGCAAAGTTTGGTGAATGCTCTTAACTTGTTTTGTTCTTTTTCTGGTCTGCAACTTAACCCTGCTAAAAGCAAAATTTTCTTTTCAAGGGTGGATTCTCTCACAAAATTCTCTATTTTATCACTCTTGCAATTTGATGCTGGTACTTTACCAGTAACATACTTGGGAATGCCTCTCTCTGCTACAGCAATTAAGGCAAGGGATTGTCAAACACTTGTGGGAAGAATCACTAAAAGAATTGGCTCCTGGACATCTAAGTTTCTCTCTTATGCTGGAAGGGCAGTCCTCATTAAATCAGTGCTGTGTTCTATTTAAGCTTACCGGTCTCAAGCTTTTGTGTTACCTAGGAAGGTGTTTGATGAAATTAACAGGATTCTTAGGAGCTTCTACTGGTCTGGGGTTGAGATGAAGAAAAGTGGAGCTAAGGTAGCCTGGAATGCAGTATGTAGACCTAAAATTTATGGGAGATTAGGATTTCCTTACCTCGAGCTCTTTAACAGAATTGCATGCCTTAAGCATATTTGGAAATTATGTCTAAGGAAGGAGAGTCTTTGGGTTGCTTGGTCCTATGACTATCTTATTAAGGAGAAGAGTTTCGGGTACCTAAAGGCAACCTCACTCAGCTCTGGTTTTTGGAGGAACCTGTTGAAGCTCAGAGAAATGGCTAGAAGTATCATTTATTTTAAGGCTGGCTGCGGAAAGGACACAAAGCTTTAGCTGGAATTTTGGCTTCCAAAGGGCCCAATTGAAAATCAGTTGGGATTAAATGACTTGGAAATTCTTCAACTGGACTCCTCAGCCACAGTTGATAGCCTAATTTCCAATGGACATTGGATGATTCCTCTATCTCTAACTTACCCTCAATTAGTTTGTTAATTTCCTTTCTCAGCTGTACTCTTTACAATCTCCCTCAGAGCAAATGGATAGTATTCATTGGTTGCCTAGTTCTTCTGGAGCTTACTCATTCTTCCAAACTATTGCTTACTTTGCCCCTCCTTCTCCATCCTTTATTTGGCACAAATTAATTTGGTTCAAACATCACATCCCTAAACATAGTTGCATTGTCTGGCTTGCTGTTAGAGGTAAACTATATACAGTGGATTCAAAGCCTATGCTTCATAAGCATTATATTAACCGGTGTTATCTATGTATGGCTGAGAATGAATCACTGGATCATTTGTTCTTCAAATGTTGTTTCAATTCACATGTTTGGATTGCTATACAAGAGGTTGCAGGATTCTATATTCTACCCAACTGCTGGAATGAGCTGATTAACTGGTGTTCAACTCATTGGTCCTCTGGAAGATTTCTAATTCATAAACTTTTGTTGTCTGCAGCAATCTACTATCTCTGGTTGGAGAGAAATAGAAGAGCATTCAGAAATGCATACTCCAGCCCTAATCACATCTTCTCACAAGTCAAATCTTGTGTTCGAGCTAAACTAGTAGCAATTAAGTTAAAAAACTGTTCTAAGTTAAGAGGGATTTCAGTTGAGGTTGATCTTCACAATTTGTTTGCACAGGCTTGTGGAGCAGCTTATGGGCACTCTTGGTTGATTACTTAAAGCTGAATCACTGGTTTTTGAGGTTCTGGAAGGTACAAGAAGCTGTGATTGGAAGATAGCAGTGTCTCCCTTCTTTGTTCACAAGCAACAAGACTTGGTTTTTGCCATGTTTCAATGGTTGTTGTGTATTGTATAGGTCCTTTAACCTTTTGTTGTCTTTTTGTCTCTATTAATGGCCTCGGCCTTCACGTGATTTTGTTTTCCCCTCTTTTTTGAGGGCTTCATGTATCTATTTTATCTTCAATACAAGCTTACCTTTAACTAAAAAAAAAAAATGTATAATTAACTATCGGACTTTCAAATCATTTTTCATGTACTTAATACCCGTTGTTATTTGCAAAGGTATATCTATTGTTGAGCTCAGCGAAGTGGAAACTAGCTATGACCAACTCAATGCATTGAAGAGTGAAGTCGTAAAGGTTGATCCAACCAATACTCAAGGGAACTACCATACCTGCATCAACTTCTTTCGACTATTTGGTGTGTATTTGTGTTTTTTTTTTAATATATAGATATATATCATATTTTCTATAATTCAATATTCTAGAATATTGCTCTATGGTTGCAAGTTTAAGGTTTAAACTTTAGTTCCCGAGCTGAAAATTTGGTACCCCTCCATTTGTATATCTTCAGTGTGACTGATTTCAAAGTGGTTATCTTTAGCTAGGTTCAAGCATATATAAAATTAAACATATTTATGATTTTTTAGTTATTTTCTTGTGTTATAAAGTGTTGAAGTTGAAACGGAGCAAATTATTATTATTATTATTATTATTTTCACCTTCAGTTAATTTTATGAAAAATACTCAAGAGAATGACGTGGAAGCATATGGCAATGGACTAGTTAATCGGAACCAACAAGGTGACCTTTTTAATTAAAACCCCACATTCATAATCTGTTTTATATATTAAGTTTCGGCTTTAAAGATGGTAAGTATTACAAGGGAGAGTTTGTTCCACGTCGGATTCGAATAAAAAAATATATAAGTATAAATGGGTGGGTATGCAATACTACCCAATAGCTCAAGCATCCACCTCTTAATTTAAAGGCAATAATTATAATTAATTAATATATATTTTTTGGTAAGCTAATGAGTAATATATTTTTCTTATTGATAACATAAATTAATTAAGGTATGAATAGTGATACACAGTTCAACACATTCAATTAAATTTAGAGATTATTACATATAAATGAACTTAGTGGCCCATATTTACCCATACATTGAGTTAAAGTCAATAATTTCTCTAAAATGTGTTTGACCCAAAAATTGAGGTGGTACATGAAAAAATACTGTTTCATATTTCTGTTGCCTAAAATACCCTTCTTCCTATTTTATGTGTTGCCTAAAATGCCCTTTTGCTAAGGTACCACTTTTTTCCCAAAGGTGCCACATTTTTGGACTGAAGGTACCACTTTTTGGCGTCCAAGTATCATGTTTTCTAAATACTCGTTTAGCTAGATTGGAGAATATTTTGTATTATTCATGGCGTTAATGGAACTGTTTATGGATGTAATGTGCAACCTAATTAGCGGTGTGGGGTTTAATACCATTTTCAATTGCAAAAATAAGTCCATTTTTTTTGTATCGAGGTACCATGTTTTCTAAACACTCTAGCTAGTTTGGAGAATATTTTGTGTTATTCATGGCCTTAATGGAGCTATTTATTGATTCACTGTACAACCTAATTAGCAGTGTAGGGTGTAATACCATTTTCAATTGCAAAAATAAATTCCTTTTGCGAAGGTACCACTTTTTTTTTCCAAAGGTACCACGTTTTTGAATTGAAGGTACCACTTTTTGGCGTCCAGGTACCATGTTTTCTAAACACTCGTTTAGCTAGATTGGAGAATATTTTGTGTTATTCATAGCATTAATAGAGCTGTTTATGGATGTAATGTGCAACCTCATTAGCGGTGTGGGGTTTAATACCATTTTCAATTGTAAAAATAAGTCCTTTTTTTTTGCGTCGAGGTACCATGTTTTCTAAACACTCTAGCTAACTTGAAGAATATTTTGTGTTATTCATGACCCTAATGGAGCTATATATTGATCCACTGTGCAACCTAGCGGTGTAGAGTGTAATACCATACGTATCAACTTACCCTCTGCCTTTAAGTAACAGACGTTTAGTGCTGATGTCAAGATGGATAAATGGGTAGAAGGTCAATTTTGCCCTTTACAATGGCTGAAATGACATTTTTAACTTTATTGACCATTGTAGAGTTACAAAACTACCCTTATTCATTCAACTACTTCAATTTTGGAATGAAATATTTTTGATACTACATTCATGTAATAGTTGAAGAAAATTCAGTGAGGCTCTAATATAATAAGCCATACAATACTAATTCATAAAAATCCAATGCAAAAGAGAACTTCATTTCATTCCATTTAAGGTAGATGCCAGTATAATACGCCATACAATGGTTGCAAAAACATACTAACCTAATCCACAATAAAAAGTTGCACAGCTATTCTTCTTTAAAAGTAGAAAAATAGCTCACACCAACAGATTGCAAAATAATAGCAAAAAAAATGACATTGTTCAACATTACATATGTCCCATATCCCACATCATTTCAAGTACTTTTTGGATTTTGAGATCCTCCTATCCCACTTCCTCTAGCTCCCAATTGGGTAAATATAGGTATGTATTTCCTTGTTATGTGGTAAACCATTTTGTGGCCCTTTTTCCTTTGTGTGGTCCTAGTGAGAGTTCTCTTGTTTGTGTATTTGATGGACATGCATTCTCTGTGTGTAGTTGGAACAAAAGAACCACTTTGTCTCTGTGACTATCACATGCAATAAAAATTAAGGTATTAAGGCATTGTATAATAATAATAAGGAACAAAAGCAATATAAAAACAAACAATTCGAAACTTTGAATAATAATAATTTTAAAAAGAATCATCAAAATTAATAAAGAATTTATAATTCGCCCAAAAAGACAGCACTATTATGGGTAACACGAAAAAAAAAAATTTGCCCAATTAATACAACTATGAAAGAATTCACAAATTTGTACCAGATATATATATATATATATATATTTGATATTAAGAGACAAAAGACAACTTCAAAAAATAATAATAAAAAAAATCACTGATTCCTACCAACAAATGGCCTTTGGAAAATTTTCACTAACCGTGCAAAATATATAATAAGGAGAAGTGCAAATGAACATTGAGCTATAGTACTAACAACTAAGTTATACTAAGAAATTACTCTACAGCAAAAATTATATCAAAAGTCGAGGAAATTACATCTTATAAGCCTTGATGGATTAAGATGGAAATAATGAGGTTCCTTGAGGTGAATGGTAGCTTGTTGGCTAATTAAATTGCACATTGGATCAATAAATAGCTCCATTAGGGCCATAAATAACACAAAATATTTTCAAAGCTAGCTAGAGTGTTTAGAAAACATGGTATCTCGACGCCAAAAAAAGAGACTTATTTTTGCAATTGAAAATGGTATTAAATCCCACACCGCTAATTAGGCTGAACATTACATCCATAAACAGCTCCATTAACGCAATGAATAACACAAAATATTCTCTAATCTAGCTAAGCGAGTGTTTAGAAAACATGGTACCTGGTAGCTTGTTGGCTAATTAAGTTGCACATTGGATTAATAAATAGCTCCATTAGGGCCATGAATAACACAAAATATTCTCAAAGCTAGCTAGAGTGTTTAGAAAATATGGTACCTCGACGCCAAAAAAAAGAGACTTATTTTTGCAATTGAAAATGGTATTAAACCCCACACTGCTAATTAGGTTGCACATTACATCCATAAATAGCTCCATTAACGCAATGAATAATACAAAATATTCTTCAATCTAGCTAAGTGAGTGTTTAGAAAATATGGTACCTGGACGCCAAAAAGTGATACCTTCAATTCAAAAATGTGGTACCTTTGGAAAAAAAGTGGTACCTTCTCAAAAGAGACTTATTTTTGCAATTGAAAATGGTATTACACCACACACCGCTAATTAGGTTACACATTGGATCAATAAATAGCTCCATTAGGGCCATGAATAACACAAAATATTCTCCAAGCTAGCTAGAGTATTTAGAAAACATGGTACCTCGACACCAAAAAAAGGAACTTTTTTTTGCAATTGAAAAAGGTATTAAACCCTACACCGCTATTGAGGTTGCACATTACATCCATAAACAGCTCCATTAATGCCATGAATAACACAAAATATTCTCCAATCTAGCTAAACGAGTGTTTAGAAAACATGGTACCTAAATGCCAAAAAGTGGTACCTTCAGTCTAAAAACGTGGTACCTTTGGAAAAAAAGTGGTACATTCGCAAAAGGGACTTATTTTTGCAATTGAAAATGGAATTACACCCTACACCTCTAATTCGGTTGCACAGTGGATCAATAAATAGCTCTATTAGGGCCATGAATAATACAAAATATTCTCCAAGCTAGCTAGAGTGTTTAGAAAACATGGTACCTCGACGCCAAAAAAAAGTATTTTTACAATTGAAAATGGTATTAAACCTCACACCGCTTATTAGGTTGCACATTACATCCATAAACAGCTCCGTTAACGCCATGAATAATACAAAATATTCTCCAATCTAGCTAAACGAGTGTTTATAAAACATGGTACCACGCCAAAAAGTGGTACCTTCAGTCCAAAATTGTGGTACCTTTGGAAGAAAAAAGTGATACTTTCGCAAAAGGGCATTTTAGGCAACACATAAAATAGGATGAAGGGTATTTTAGGCAACAGAAATATGAAACAGTATTTTTTCATGTGCCACCTCAGCTTTTGGCTCAAACACATTTTAGAGAAATTATTGACTTTGACTCAATGTATGGGTAAATATGGGCCACTAAGTTCATTTATATGTAATAATCTTTTAAATTTATGTGAAAAATGAATGACATATAATGATTTATATTATCATACTTAATGACATCATGAATATTATTAATTCTTTTATACTGAATTTTAGCTTTTAGAGAACGCCTATATGGCACGTGCATCAAGCTAATATCAAAGATGATGAAAATATTTGGTACGTACACTATGATCCATGCATATATAATTAATTAATTGTCATTAACAATTAATCAATATGTGTGTGTGTGTGTCTAACATGTTTATGTTAGTACCTTCTGAGATGCGGAAGATTAAGAAGGAAAAAGAGAAGCACACATGATCCGTCCAGGTTATGAAAGAACTTCTCAAACGCGACTCTCCATATAATTATGATGTCAAACCAAAGCAGCCTTCTCCAACTAGTGATGGCACAGACACAGTCGTGAAACAGCCCAACCATGGTAATTAAACCATCAATAATTTCATTTCAATCATTACACTAGCTAGATATAAAAATGTTCTATTTCAAAACTCAATCATATATATTAAATTAGGGATAATTACATATGTATGAAATTTTTGGACTCCTATTTGCGATTTCATGAAGTAAACGCCACGATGTTTTGATAAAATAGAGTTGACCAAAATACTGAGTAAACATAGAAAGACATTGGTCATTTGCCCAAACCACTCTTTACTATTTACAGGTATGTTGATGGTATGTACTACTTTTTTGCACAGAAATACTATTTTTATACACACGTGTATTATTTTTTTTTGTGCAAACCATGCATCAAAATAGTCTGCAAAAAAACAAATACTTGTGTCCGCAATAGGTACGTGGTACCTCTATGCACAAGAGTAGTACTTACATGCACAAAAGTGGTACCTAAAAATGCTAAGAATTAACAATGTTTTTTCGTGTTCACATCAGTATTTTGGTTAACTCCATTTTTTTCGAAATATCGTGACTTTAATTACATAAAATAGTAAACAAGAATCCAAAAGTCCATGTATACGCAATTATGTATATGTATATATAGAATTGAATCATGCATGTGATGTGCTCGATCATGACAGGCATGGAAAACAAGGA